AAAGGTATCTTCTTAATAAGAGGAAGCAGCTGTATATTTAATAGCTAATTCTTACTTTCTACACTCTAAAAGAGTATAGAAAGCGCTCTTTATTATAGGCGCACCTCTAGCACACTAAGTGCGCAAGACAGGCGCAACCTTGTTTCTACTTAGCCTATGCGCTAGCACATGCTATAGCCTATGCGTAAACTATGCTACACAGCCTACGCCACTAGCACTGCTTTTAGTTTATAATATGCATTTAATACGCTATGCGCATACTGCGTACAGCTTGCGCGTAGCCTATGTCGGTCTCTTCTTTAGGGCGGCGTTATAATTGCTCCTCTTTTATGCTTAACTCCCTTAAGGCAGGTTTTAACAAAAGGCTTGCAACCTTTATTCTTAGTAGTAGTAGTGCTTATCTGTTTATAGCAGCCCCTTTATGCTTGCTAAGATTGCTATTAAAGGCAACTTAAGGCGCCTTTAGTTCTCTTTATTTAGAAGGTTAGTCTTATAGTTAAATTAGATTATTATAAAGTCTAGTATCTAGTCACTTCTTTTAAAAACAACAAATTCGTCTTCTAGCAGCAATATAGCTACTCTTAATTCTAACGTTCTTATGCCTGCGGTAAGCGCCTTTAGCGCTCTAGTACCCGCTATAGCCCTAGCCCTTACTCCTTAATACTCTTTACCCTTTAACTAAAGTGCTAGTTCTGGCTGCGCGCAACGTGCGCGCAGGGCTTACGCTAGCATAGTTCGTCGTTCGGCGCGGACTACGGCGCGCGCCGTGCCCTTAGTTAGGCCTTCGATGGCCTGTTAAGGTGTAGGAGCTACCCTTGCTAGTCTAGCGCTCTTAGGGTTGGTGGCGGCTGCGCTACTAGCTTACCTCTAGGTTGCCTTAGACGGCTTATTGTACGTGCGGTGCCTATACTGCTTTCTAACAACTCTCTTTATAAAGTTGCCTAGGTTTGCGGCCGTGCTGTGTATTTACAGCGTTGCTAGTGCTAGGCGCTATAACGGCTGCTATGCTAGCAAGCACGAGTGTTACGGGGTAAGTCCTTTTTAGTGGCTATAGGCCGCTTTAATAGCTAATAGAATGCAGGTTTTCCTGCTAATGGTTAGCAACTAGGCTAACTTTAAGATAGTACTACGCGGCTTTAATAAAAAGCTTTATAGCTAGGGTTTGCCTGTAGTGCGCGCGGCACTTGCGCGTGCTATAGGTGCTTTCGTTGCTACCTTATTATAAGTAGATAAGTAGTAGCGGCCTACGTTGCTAGGGGTGTTGTTGGCTGCTAACGTTATATAGGCAAAGCTTAATCTTTGCTATAGCATTAAAGCTTAAGAGAAGGCTTAAGAGGTAGCCTGCTAGGTAGAGGCTTAGCAGGCTTTATTAGCTTAAATGCACTTGCTATTACTATATACGCCCTTTTTATCTTTACTGCCTAAGCTTACTACTTTAACCCTTTAGCAGCTCTCTTAGCTGCCGCGCCTAATGCTTAGTAATACTAGTTATGCTGCCTTTATTGCAGCCTTTAATGCCTTTCTTAAGGTAGTAGTAAGGGCGTATATTATAGATAAAGCTTATGCTAGGATAGCGGCCAGCGTAGCGTTGCTTTAAAGGCTCCTTAAATAGTTTTGCGTAGTCTTTTATAAGGCCTTTTAGCTAGTTAAATTAATTTAAGCTTTTGCCTATATATTTTCGTCTTTACACGCTTGCTACGCGTATACCGCTTAATTGCTGCGTGCGTATTTTTTATATCTTCTTCTAGTACCTACTAGTTGTATTTAGTCGGCTAGCCTATTTAATATACTAGGTATTTAGTCTAGCTAGCCTTATATCTTTTATCTAAGACTACTTTTACTTTTTATTTATTATCTAGGTCTTTTAACGCTAGCATTATTAAAGGCGCTTATTCTATACTTGCCTTACTCTTCTAGTGTTTTAATAGCAAAACTAAGAAAACGTTGTATAGTTAGCTATATTATTTTAGTAGTGCTAGTTAATATGCCTATCTGCTTATAGTCCTAAGGATTCTAAAGGGCTTAATACGTCTTAATGCTAACTTCTTATTTTTTAGGTAAAGGTTTTTTATAGAAAGGCTTACTAGCTCTCTTACCGCAAAGCTTATAGGCTAGTAGCGCGTATTATAGTAACTCTTCTAGCGCTTTATCGTAGACTTTTAGTTTGCCGCCAACCTTTTCTATATAGCTTCTAGTTTTTCTAAGCAGTTGTACATTGCTAGGACTATGTTACGCGTATCTTACTCCTCTTTTATAGTCGCGCCGCCCTTAAAGCAAGTTTGCAAGTCTAGTTTCTAACTATATAGCGCTTTAAATAGGCTAATTTTAGTTGTTGCGTTAATAGCGTTATTATAGGCGTATTGCGCTAAAGACAATAAAAAGGGCTAATTTAATTGCTTCTTTATTACAAAGCAGCGTAAGTACTACTTTAACGTTTAGTTAAATCTCTTTGTCTGCCTATCTATCTAAGGGTAAAATGCGGTTAATAGCCGCTTATAGATTCTAGTCTAATAGTAATATTTACTTTAGAATTTGCTAATAAATATGCTTCCTTAGTTAGAGACTATACCCTCTAGTGTTACGCTGTATACTAGTTTTATATGTTAGTGTATAAAGTGCATAAGGCCTTTAGCTATTAAGGTAGTCTATATAGCAAAGAAGAGGTTTATCTTTATAAAGCAGTTAACAATTACTAAAATTGCATTTACTTTGCCGCCTATGCTTACTTTAGCTACTAGTAGCCTTATAATTAAGTCTATAAAGATTTCCTGCTAAAGACCCTATAGTAGCAGTAGTAGGTTTAGCTTACTATATTATGCATACTATTTAATTGTTTATCTCTAGTAGACTAGGCATAAAGTAATATAAGCTTTTACGTCTTTCTTTATTTCTTCCTAGTAGAAGTAGCGACAAAGCAGTTCTAGGGTCCTAGCAACTACAAAGTGCCTAAAGATTTAATTGTTATAATAAAGCTATAGCAGCTCTTAACAAAGGACGTACGCGCCGCCTATATATAGGCAGTTTTCCTATAGTAATATACCGTCTAGTATAAGGCTCTATAGCTTTATTATACCTCTTACGCATATAGTGCGCTTTACGCACGCCTTAACAACTTGCACCTCTAGGTCTACGTCCTAGATTCCTACTATTACTCTGCAAATAGCTTTAAGGACTCCGTTTTCTTAAAGGTGTAGATGTAGGGCAGCAACAACAGCTAGTTGCTATAGTAAGCCAAAGTATACTAAGTTCCTATCTACGCTCGTTAAAGGCGTTAGACCCTTAATTAGCGCTATAGTAGTAATATCCCTAAGGTCTTCTTATAGTCTCTTATAGTTGTCTAGCCTTCCTAGTTTACTACGCTTCGCCTGCTTAGGCGGTGCGCTGTTTTACGCTATAGTAGCTTGCCGCGTAAGATTTAAGGCTACTAAGATCCTAAAGGTAGCGCTTAGCTTCTCTTCCTTGCTAGGTCCTTTTGCAGGTGCGCGTATCTTGCGCGTCTTATTCGCATAAGCTGCGTTAGTGACTAGCTTAGCGCTATTGTCTTTTATAATAGGTGCGCGCATCTTGCGCGTCTCTTGCGCTATAGCTGCAGTGCCTGCTAACTATGCGTCTTTCTTTTATACCCTAGTAATAGTTATTCTAACTTATTTAAGTTTATTAAAGTAATCTAGCCGTCTTAATAGCGCATTAGCTAGGTTTATTACGCCTAGTCTATGCTTAATTACAAAGTTAAAGAAGGATAGGTATATAGCTTAGTAAGCCTTGCGTTCGTTATACCTTAGCTAGGTTATAAAGGTACGTAAGATGTTATAGTCTAATAAGACTTTAATCGTCTCTTTGCTACTATTAAGGTAGTGTTGCCATTACTTAAAGGAGTCTATAATTGCTAGTAGCTCTTAATTTAAAGTGCTATAATTTAGCTTTAGTCTTTATAGTTTTCTTAACTAAAAGGCAATTAAGTGCTAGGCTCCCTCTTTATCTTATTAGAAGATAATCCTACTAATAGCTACCTTTAAGGCATTAGTCTTTACGCGTATTACCCGTTCTAGGTTAAAATAGCGTAGCAAAGGTGCTTTTATAAATGCCTCCCTTAGCATTGCAAAGGCTGCGCGCTCCTTGCTTCTTAGCTGTACTAGTCCTAGCTTTTTGCCATTTTTACTGCCTTATAGCAGCCTTAACAAAGAAGATAAGATGTCTAAGTAAGCTTTAATAAAGCAACAATAAAAGTTGCAGAATCTAAAGAAAACCTGCACCTCCTTAAATGTTTATAGTATTAGCTATTTTATAATTACGCGTACTTTACGCGGGTTTATTATAAACCCTTTGCTTCTAATAATAAACCTTAAGAATTTAACTTTTTATTAGTAAAATAAGCATTTGTTGCTATTAACAAATAACTAGGCTTGCTAAAGACGCTTAAAGACCTAGTCTAGGTGCTTTGTGTGCTCCTCCTTATTACGTAAGAATATAAGGATATTGTTTAAGTAAACAATATAGATTATATTTACTAAACTATGCAGCGCTTAGCTAATATAGTACTAAAAGGTTGCTAGAGCGTTAGTTAGCCTAAAAGGTAAGACTAGGTATTTAAAAAGACTATATCTAGTTTATAGACTATTAGCAGACCGTAAGTACAGAAGACCTTCTAAAGCTATGCCAGACCTGCCTAAAAAGGGGCAGCTCTAGGGGGGTGTGTCGAATAAGCCAGACCAAAATGGGAGGGGCGTGCACGATTATGCAGTGTGATGAAAGAATACATGTACTGTGTAGCGCAGGGGGCTATTTAGTACGTGTTTTGACGCACGTCGGCATACCTCGGAAGTACCTAACCATAACAATACATTCTCGCTCACTGGGCACACATAATTCGTTATTTACAGTGGGTCTTTATTAAATGGGGCGTGGCACGATTAGCATTTTAAATTTTCACCCGACCAACCCACCTAACAGATTGGTTAATAGCTCGGCCTCAACGCCCTCAACGCCGCAGATTTCCCACCATGTCCAACCCGCTAGATCGTTTTCTCAATCCTAACCAGAACGAGTTTGGCACTGGCGGATGGTGGAACTATGGCGATGCTTCCATTGTCGATCAGTACGATGCTTTCATTCTCGATCAGTCTTCTCTGTTACCACAGCCAGGAGTGTACTCTAGTTCGGTCTCGATGAACTCGTTAAGTTATGGGGTTTACGGCCAAGCGTATGAGGCATGCGATTTCATCGGGCCTGAACAGCTCGCCAACATGCCCCTGCAAACGCCGAATTTCGTGCATGATATGTCCCAAGAAATGGCCGGTCCTGCATATGACAGCCAAACTCCGGGCTGGGAGAGGGATATGGAAGTTGAGCCCAGGGGTCTGGACGCGGACTTCGCCCAACAGAGCTTGTATCTGTCACCACCGACCGTTGCTTCTTCACAAAACAGTTCTCAGCCGCAATCCGTTTCGCCTGAGGCAAGTCCATCTGAGTCTAGCCGTGAAAATATTGACGAGGAGGTGATATGCTACGGAATGGTGAGTGAGCATGCTCCGGTACTCCGTAACAAATTTGAATCGTACACACAGTTAACACGCACCAGCTATACAATATTGACGTCAAGCTCGTAGGCAACATGGGGGAGATCAAAAGTAAAGTCCGCAGGGGTGAGCTCACATATCAAAATTTCAAGCTGAAAGAGGAGGGAATCGACCATATAATCCTGTGTTTCCGCGAAGACGGCGGACAGTTCGGCATCCTGCGCAGCGACGTAGTCAAGACGCTTGAGCCTTTGATAAAGTCTCTAGGCAGTGGCATCGACTTCATTGTGTCCACCGCCAGCCTATCCGGGAGCTTTGAACATGCCAACAGATCTGTCGATGTCATAGTCAAGGGCGACATATACTTATACGGACAGCGACAGAAAGCACTTGAAATTGGAGATATGCTCTCGAAAAGAAAGAAATGGCTACAGAAACCTGGTAGAGCGATGCGCAATGTTGAATACGAGAATCCGCAGTTCCTCGAGATTAAGCTTACTGAAATCAAAACGCAGTACGTTCAACCAGTGAACTCGGGCCAGCCAGCCAGCAACAAATCACTAAGCAAGAGTGATCGAGAAGAGGTGCTGCAGAGAATGTTGAACGAGGTGTACAAGACGCTGGACAGCACACAGCAGCTCGAAATGGTAGAGGGTGGAGTCGGAGTCGGACAAGACCTGCTCATGTAATGTGCCCTGCTCCTTATCTTTCCAGAAGGTTGCTGTCTTTGCTGATTTATTTCACAAATAGGCATCAAAAGAAAGCGCTATATTTCATGCTGAAGAGGGAGGCCGGCCAAATCGAGGGAGAGCACAGCCTTTGGGAGGCTATTGGAAAGGAAGAAGGGTTTGAAATGTGAGTAGCAGTTCTGATCCTCAAGTATGCACATTACACTGACAAGACCCGTGCTAGATATCGCCACAAAATCACCAATGCCAAGGCGAGAGATGGATTCCGGCCATTCGAGAGTCGAGGTGGCATTTTGGCCGACGAAATGGGCCTGGGAAAATCCCTGTCGATCCTTGCTCTTGTCGTAAAGACGCTCGAAGACGGGAAGCAGTGGGCCAGCCAGCAGAATGCCAGCTTTGAAAACAATGATGTTCCCAAGCACTCGGGCGCTACGCTCGTTGTGGTTCCGTCAACTCGTGGGCCATTCCCCATAATCGATCGATAAACAAGGCTTTTCTGGAGCTGACCTGGCTAACCTGGCCGAGTAGTTCTGATTGATAACTGGGAGGAAGAGATCGAAAAGTGAGGATCTGCTTCCTCTGCTGTACATGACTAATTCGCTAACCGGATCACTCAGGGACGTGAAAGTGGACCATACGGTGCTCAAGTACCATGGTCCCGGCCGGCCGACGAATGTTGACGCGATCGTGAAACACGACATTGTCATCACCACTTACAGCACCCTCACCGCCGAATTTCAGCAAAAGAAAGGCCCATCCCTTCTTCACCAAATTAAGTGGTATAGAGTTGTTCTTGATGAAGGCAAGTAAACGTCATCGTTCGGAGACCCCCTTTTCTTTTTGGCTTGACTCACAGCATTTAGCACACATGATCCGGCGCCATAGTACAGCTTTCAACCAAGTCTGTGCCAATCTGCACGCCAATTCGCGATGGTGTCTCACAGGAACACCCATTCAAAACAAACTGGCTGATATTGGCGCACTTTTCTCCTTTATTCGCACAGAGCCGTTCTCCAAACCGGCTGTCTTTCGCAGGTGGTTCGAGACTCCGTTCGAACAGGGCGAGATGAAAACGGTTCGAGACCGTCTGGTCGTTCTCTTGGGGGCGCTCTGCTTGCGCCGCACGAGAGAGATTGTCCAATTGCCAGAGCCGCAGCAGATAACACGCAGCCTCAAGTTTACTACTGAAGAGCGGAAGCGGTATGATGAAACGAAAGGAATTCTGCTGCGTAGGTTGAAATACAGTGTCGGTAGTCCCGACGAAGAGCTCTCGAAGTTTGGCCTTTTCCAGGTGAACCTACAGATGCGTCTTTTGTGCAACCACGGCACATTCCAGCAGCAATTCTCGTGGCGCCGAAATTTCCGCGACGAACAAGACGTCGGAATATCCAAGCTTGACCAAAATGGCCACGTCCCTTGTTCCCTGTGTGGAAACCCAGCACCGAATTTCGGGTGCAGCCGCACACGCCACAACTTCCGTGATAATTGCACCCACAATCTATGCTCAGAATGCTTCGAGCCTCCATCCGAGGCAGATATCATGGGGACGAAGCCGGATTGTCCTATATGCAAAGTAAATAATCGGGGCCACGATGACAGTGATATGCCTATGCCAGACGGAAAAGTCATCGAGGACGACGAGGCCACGTATTTCAACGACGAAGGCTATTCAACCAAGATACAGGCGGTTATCGAGGACGTCCGAAGAGACTTAGCGACGACGAAGAGGTATGAGATCACTGCCCTTTATTGGTGGAACAACAGCCATACTGACACTAAAAGCATCATCTTTTCTTGTTGGACAAGAACGTTGGATCTGCTCGCTTCGCACCTGAAAGATGCCGGGATTCGCTACCTCCGAGTTGACGGCAGTTTGACAAATCGAGTGCGGCAAGATAGCCTTCGGGAATTTGCGCAAGACGCCGATGTACGGGTACTCATCATGACAACGGGTACTGGTGGGATCGGGTAAGCCAAAAGCTGCACTCCTATCAGTCCAGATAGAGTATGGGACTAATGGACCGGTGTCCAGGTTAAATTTGACATGCGCCAATCGCATATTCCTGGTTGAGCCGCAGTGGAATCCCGGCGTGGAGAGCCAGGCTATCGCTCGCGCCATCCGTCTTGGACAGGAGAGCGAGGTACTAGTGACACGTTATCTGGTCGAGGACACTGAAGAAGAAGTTCGTCCACCGGTCCCTTTTCCGCCTTGTTCTCTGAGTAATAATATTAACCACAACTAGGCAATTCTGGCTCAGCAGATTGGGAAGAAACGGCTGGCAGCTATGGGATTTCGAAGGAAGGAAGGCGCCAACGCCTCCTAATCGAACAAACATGCCGTAGCCTATAACCTCGTGCACGAGTAGTAGAGGAGTCGGCGATAGCTTTGTGACGGAACCTAATGGAAAGTTTTAGAATGCCAACTTCCAGCCCTGTTCAGTATATGAGGAATATGGTTGGGAACGGAAGGTGCGATCGTAAATTCTGTTTGGGCGCCTATGATATCGACTCAATTTTTTTGCTGCAAAAACGACATTCTTTATTCTTCATATAGTATTCTTCTGACAGCTGAATCTATCGTAGGTACAAATACCGATTTGCGTTCACATGTATTACATGTATACTGTACGAAGTACTCTGATAAAGATGATGAGTATTACTCCGTGGAATTGCTGGACCAATTAGGCTGTGGAGTGATTTCGTTGCTGGGGCAACATCAGATTACGCGGCGGTTACACATGCAAACAATCCAACAGTCTAGGTCGAGCTGAATGCAGAAAAAGTCTTGGCACGAATTGGACATAACTCCGAGTGCCGCACCCTGCAGGGAATGAAGCGTAATCCGACCAGCATTCCAATCGACTCTGCAGCTAGCCGCCAACGTAGAAACCAGCATGTCCTCTCACGGCTCAGAGAACTACGACTCGACAGCACGACGACATCGCCATGCTAACAGCAGTGGCGAGAACAAAAAGAAAAGGACACCGACTGACGATAGACGGCGTCGGAAGAAGACGCAGGCACTCTCGGCGGACGCCTTGGCTCAGCTAAACGAGAGAAACGCGGGCAGCGGTAATGATACAGCACAAGAAGGAGAGCGCGAACATAGGCCGAGACCGAGGCGGGAAGAACCCAGGACAAAGCGACATCGGAAGGAGAGGAGCGAGCCCAGACGGGACGAGGCGCTTAGAGGCGAGCCACGGCCAAGACACGAGTCAAGAACAAGGCGAGAGTCAAGACCACGATACGAGTCGAGAACACGATACGAAGCGGTAGCACAAGACGAATCACGAACACGGGACGATGATCGCAGAACGGACGATGAGCGGAGAACAGACGACGAGCGGAGACGGGGCAACAGACGGAAACGAGATGACAGACGCAGACGGGACGACGAACAGAGGGACGATAGGAGGGACGAGCTGTTAGGGGAACTGGAAGGTGAAAGACGGCCGAGAAAGACACGGCGACGCTATAACGACAACACGAATAACGAGCACGATGACGAATACAGAGAAAGCGATGGTTATGCGAGGGTCGAGACGGGCGGACACGGCGACAGGAAGCACCAGAGGCGGCGAGACCGTCGGATACCCAGCGGTGCCATCCTGGAGGAGGGACGATCGCGGGCTGTTCAAAGGGGGCATCTGCGCGGTGGAGCGGTCGGAAGCAAAAGCAGCACAGAGACAGTTGAGAAGGTGAAGGCGGAAAAGTTGTATTATACCCAGAGCACGACAACTGACGAGGAGGCGAAGAAGAAGAAGAAGAAGAAGTTTTGTAAGTAAATGTACTATTCGTCTTCTTTTTAGGGTGACAGGGTTCTAACCAAGCGGGGCAGTGATTTTTGGGGGGATCGGGGCGCTGATCGTCATCGTTGTGGTGGTGGTAGCAGTGGTGGCCAGCAAGAAGAAGAACAGTGGCACAAGCTCAGGCTCGAGCTCACCGGCAACAGGACTGGGCAGCATCTCACCGAGCAGCATCCCGGCAGACGCACCGTCTTATCTGAACCCGTACAAGTGGGCGGACACGACAGACTTCAACTTGACATATACAAATGAGACGGTGGGGGGGCTGCCGGTGATGGGGCTGAACACGAGCTACGACGATTCGGCATCGGCCAACGACGATACGGCACCGCTGGACAAGGCATGGGGATCGTACGGGACGACGCCGGCACGGGGAGTCAACCTAGGGGGATGGCTGTCGCTGGAACCGTTCATCACGCCGTCGCTGTTCAACAAGTACCAGTCGAGCCTGGGGATCATCGACGAATGGACGCTGTGCTCGTATTTGGGGGCAACGAACTGCGCCAGCACGCTGGAGGCGCACTACGCGACGTTTGTGACGGAGGCGACGTTTGCAGAGATCGCAGCAGCCGGGCTGGACCACGTGCGCATCCCGTTTTCGTACTGGGCAGTGGCCGTGTATGACGACGACCCATACCTGTTTCGAACGAGCTGGCGATACCTGCTGCGGGGAATCGAGTGGGCACGGCGACACGGACTGCGGGTGAACCTGGACTTGCACGGGCTTCCGGGCAGCCAGAACGGATGGAACCACAGCGGACGAGAGGGGACGATCGGCTGGATGAACGGCACGAACGGGGCGCTGAACGCACAGCGATCGCTGGACGTGCACGATCGGCTGTCGCAGTTCTTTGCGCAGCCGCGATATGCCAACGTGATCTCGCACTACGGGTTGGCAAACGAGCCGCGGATGACGTTCCTGTCGGTGTCAGAGGTGATGAGCTGGACGCAGACGGCAGCGGCGAAGGTGCGGCGCAACGGGCTGTCCAACTCGACCATCATCGTCTTTGGCGACGGGTTCTGTGGGCTCAGCCGATGGCAAGGCCAGCCGAACGACTACAACATGGCGCTGGACGTGCACCAGTACGAGATCTTCAATAACGACCAGATCGTGTATACGCACGAGGCCAAGATCAAGTATGCCTGCACCGACTGGACGCAGCAGACGGACCAGAGCATGGACACGAGCACCGGCTACGGACCGACCATTGTGGCCGAGTGGTCGCAGGCCGACACGGATTGCGCGACGTATCTGGGCAATGTCGGCAACGGCAATCGCTGGACGGGCACGTACAATGTCGGCAACGCCAGCCTCAACGCGCTGACGCCCAAGTGCCCGGCGCAGAACGCGACGTGCGAGTGTACGGACGCGAACGCCGACGTCGGCAGCTACAGCGCCGCGTACAAGCAGTTCCTGCTGACCTTTGCTGAGGCCCAGATGTACTCGTTCGAGCAGGGCTGGGGCTGGTGGTACTGGACCTGGGATACCGAGTCGGCGCCGCAGTGGTCGTACAAGCAGGGACTGGCAGCTGGCATCCTGCCAGCCAAGGCGTCGCAGCGGTCTTTCCAGTGTGATCTGAGCAACATTCCTAGCTTCTCGGGTCTGTCGGAGCTGTATTAGGTTGAGCGATGAGGAGAAGAGGGGAGAGAAGAGACGATGGAGGGATACGATGGAGAAGAGAGGAAGTAAAGTCACGATATGACAGTGGATACAACCCCGGATAAAGCTTAGAGAGCGGGTTGTGGAGTTGGCATCGCATGTTCGCATTGCTGGCGTTTGCATCAACTAAATTCGAATAATACTGCACCAACTGTCGTGTTTCCGGAAACCGGCAACGTGCTATGCTGAGTAATTCAAAACAGGGACTCGTAGCGCCATCCCACAGTCCTTAAAGAGTGGAGCAGACACTTTGCCGTAACCCGGGCTATTTCCATATCGTCTCCTCCTTTGTATTTCAACCTTGGTCTGTGTCGGCAACTCTATCAATCAACATCGTCCGCGAGACCGGAGCCAGAACAGAAACCGATGATGTCACCAACAGTGTCGCTAAGCACCGTTTTCACGGCAACTGTCGGCAATTTGCCTTGGCAGCCGCTTGCCACATCTGGCTGCGTGTGCACGCTGGGATGTAACCCTCTCGACTCTGCCTCCACATTGTCCCGCAGACTAAGGCTGCTGGCGTGATGCTTGAAAAAAAACCAAGGCGTGGTTCCAGGGGAGAACATAATTTTCCGCTTGCTGAGTAATGGATCTCTGCCCGGACGGCGTGCCACCGCCTCCCCGACATATCCCCTGCTAGGCGAATTCTGTCTAGCCGGCATGGAGAATCTGCTGCTAGCTTTGTAACGCCGAAGACGGCGTTAGTACGGGATGCAAATTAAGACGACTGGGTATATTCTCCGAACGCTTTTTGGCGCGACCAGCCGTGAACTTTGCTGTTGCTGTGGTTGAAATCTCCATTGTCTCGCGACGAGTGAGAAGCGACACGAGAACGGCAAGATGTCAACACCAGCTGAGATGGACAAGGACGTGGAGAAAAGCATTGACGGAGATTGGCTGCCACAGGAGAACGTGCACATCCACCGCCACAACTCTGCCGTCGACGTGCCGCTGGGCCGGTCAAAGTCAGATGCCGGGCTCGACTTCGGCGCCGGTACCCGGTCCGTGGATGTGTCCGGGGATGAGGACGACGACCTGCAACAGGGCGGCAATCAGGCCGGCGACATCGAGGCGGGCCCAACCGAGAAGGACGCGTTCGAGGTGTCGTGGGACGGCGGCGACAGCGACCCGGCAAACCCACGGAGCATGGCCACGGCGCGCAAGTGGCTGATCGTGACGGTGACGTGTGTAGGGGCGACGTGTGTGTAAGTCTGGTCTTGTGCGGTCTTGTCGTCTTGAAGTCTTTACTATGTAAGATACAGATTCGTGACTCATGCTGACTAATCAGAACCTGTGCGAGTTCCATCTACACGTCGACATACGAGCAGATGGACGCCGAGTTTGGCAACTCGCGCATTGTGGCGACGCTAGGACTGTCGACATTTGTGCTGGGCATTGCGCTGGGACCGGTCTGGAGCCCACTGAGCGAGTTCTACGGTCGCCGACCGATCTATCTGGGCTCGTTTCTGCTGTTCCTCGTGTGGATCGTGCCGTCGGCAGTGGCTCGGAACATTGAGACGATGATCATCGCGCGTTTCTTCCAGGGCTTTGCCGGCAGCGCGTTCCTGTCGGTGGCGGGCGGCACGGTGGGCGACCTGTTCCACCGTGAGGCGATGCAGGGCCCGATGGCACTCTTCTCGGCAGCACCCTTCATCGGGCCTGCGATCGGGCCACTGATCGGCGGCTTCGTCAACACGTACGCCAGCTGGCGCTGGACGCACTACCTGCTGCTGATCTGGAGCGGCTGCGCGCTGGTGGCGCTGCTGCTGCTCGTGCCCGAGACATACCACCCGGTCCTGCTGCGGAACAAGGCTCAACGACTGCGTCACGAAACGGGCGACGATCGCTGGCGCGCGCCGCTCGAGACGCTCAACGCTCACCGCTCCGTGGCCGCGACGGTTGGCCTCGCGCTGCTGCGGCCCTTCCAGCTGCTCATTTTCGAGCCCATGTGCCTGCTGCTCAACCTCTACTCGGCCATCCTGCTGGGCGTGCTCTACCTCTTCTTCGGCGCCATTCCACTTGTCTTTGAGCACGCCCACGGCTTCAATCTCTGGCAGGTCGGCCTCGCCTTCCTCGGCCTCCTCGTCGGCATGCTCATCGGCGGCCTTTCTGCTCCCCTCTGGGGCCATATCCGCCTCGGCCTCATCCGTCGTCGCCAGGAAGCCTCCGGCGAGTCTCTGCCGCGCAGCGAACCCGAGGACCGTCTGCCCTCGCTCATGGTCGGCTCCGTTCTCGTCTCCGTCGGGCTCTTCTGGTTCGGCTGGTCTACGTACCCGCACGTCCACTGGATCATGCCGATCATCGGCTCAGCCATTTTTGCTACAGGGTATGATTTTACTTGTTTTTGTCTTCTTCCCTTCATTGTTGCTTTTCATATCGTTTTATTCTTTCTGTCTCTTTCTTTCTCCTTCTTCCCATCACTCTGTAGCTCCCTATCCTTTACCCCCCACCCTTGTCATTCTATTTTCAGAACAAACGCCACACCAGCAAGACATTGGCTCGCCAACAAGCAAAAAAGCCCTGTCACTGCTTCCGCCTTGATCCCGCCTTTCTCTATATTGGCGGACAGGGTCTCACGCCCCCACTTTGCGGCTGTGTGATGTGATGGGAATTCCTCACGGCCCATTCTTCCAACTGTCACCCCTCTCACTGCACCTTGCTCTATATTTGCAAATTTTCTTTCTGTGCTTGACCAAGCTGCTGTGCTCTGCGACCACTGCACATGCAACCCCTTTATCTCGCAAGTTGGCCAATCTCCTATCCAGAACGGCCGTCTTCCAAGCCTCTCTTCTGCCTAAACATCTCGTGTCTATTTCTATATCCTTGTTTTCCACTTTTCATACGTGGATTGTCACGCAGCAACTGCTGCCTGTCGCTGCCCATGAAGACATCAATGCGCTCTTTTCTCTTGCTGGGCTCATTTGGCTGGCAGTTCGTGGGACAATGTCGCTAATCGCACGCCTTGCTCTGCACTACAGGACAATATTGGCTTTCAGCGGCATATTCACCTTTCTTGTAAGTGTCCCGCATGCAATGGCACAAGAAAAGAACACGACGAGATTGGCTAAAATGCGAGGCTTACACACTGGAACACATAGGTCGAAGTTTATGTGCTATATGGGGCCAGTGCGCTGTCATCGAATGCCCTTGTGCGATGTACCTTTGCTGGTAAGTGCTTTCCCTCTTTTTCTGTACTCTCCCTCCACGGCTCCGTGTCCCTTCTGTCCTTGCTCAACTGGCGGTGTCTCGCGTTTATCTCCATCGAGTGGTTGTTCGTCTCACCACCGTCGACTTCTCGACCCACACAGCTGGGTTTTCGTGTTCAATTTGTGCATCTTATTGCTGTCCCTATATGCACCTGATGCTAACATTTCGCAGCCGCCTTCCCACTCTTCGGCCTGCAGATGTACAACAAGCTGGGCTACCAATGGGCTACATCGCTCCTGGCCTTCCTCACTGTGGCGATGCTGCCATTCCCCTTCCTCTTTTTCAAATATGGCAAGCGCCTGAGAAGCAAGAGCCGCTTCGCGGTCGCGAATTAGGCCACGACAACAATCGAGTCAAGTCAGCTGACGAGGTTGGATATGCGCTGGCAGTGACCAGGGCGATTTGGGTACAGACACGTGTATGTGGTAATGTGCGGTGGGCTTGACGTAATCAGCATAAAAGCATGGCGAGTTTATTTGTATCTTTCTGTACACTTGATACCATTGCATAAAAAAGAGCGACATCTGGGTAGTATTGGCACATTGATTCAAGCCAAGAGGCGGGCGTGACAAATACTGGCGTCTAGCAGACGCTGTGTGCCGCTGCAGGCACACTCTGAGTGGCCCAGAGCGTAGTTTGGGAACACAGCATCTCGAGTCGTAGGCACGAGGGTGGAGAAGGGGCGTCGGAGACAAGAGTGCATGGTGGTGTTGTGTGTGTGTCCAAGATCGTGCGAGCCGTCAAGAACAAGGCAGGGAGCGACCGGGCGAGCATGCGTGTTTGCTGATGTATGGCCCGGGAACGATAGGGTTCAGAGGACAGAGGAGGTGCAGCATACGAGGCACGGGATACTAGGCACGGGACACGACAGCCTGAGAAGGAAAGGAAAGCAGGATGAAAGAGACACAGAGGCACAGAGGAGCAGAGGGCAAAGCATGCAGGGCCAAAGGACATCTGGTGATTATGCTGCAACATGTGGCTGGCTTTGCGAGAAGATGCATTGTGAGATTTGTCCTGATGTTGTCAATGGAACGAAATGATAAGGATGGTCATGCACGGGAACTGCTATGTGTGTGAATGTGTGTGGACATGGCTTGCGTGTGTGGCGTCCAGTAGCGGACGAGAAGGAGGTATGGGTGAGCTGATACGAGACGACTCCCCGTCCTGGTCTCGACATGTTGGGCCCGACGCCGGGAATACCGGATGCGGTATGCCATTGTATCTCGACCAAACGACCTCTGGTTAGCAGCAGGCCACACCAAGATGCGGTATTCCAGAGCAGTCGTTCTGGATGGATGGATGTCTAAGGTACGAGCAGCTTGACGGAGAGATGCGAGCAGAGAAGGAAGAGCAAAGTCCAGGCACCGCTCAGTCCCGCAGCCGTGGAAACGGCAGCGCAGCAGAGGGGAGACAGGTCGAGCTGTCAGTACTCGCCCGCATAAGGCAACCGGATCGATCAGAAAATCTCGTCATTTTCGCCATGTTTCCTCCTTTCCCTGATCCCGGGGCAGGATCTATCCCACCCAGACACATACACATGTGTCTTGGTCCCTTGGGGGTGGGCTTGGGCACCAGCGAGAGAGGGGCTTGATGTTGCGGTCACACGAATGGTAAGAGGAGCGAGAAGCTATAGGAGAACCGGTCTAGAGAATGCAACCAAGGGGAGGGGGAGGGGTGTGAGAAACCGAAATCAGCCCGAAGCAAGAATGCAAGACAAGCGTCGAGTGGGTTCACAGGGCAGAGCGGGCCAGAAGGTGATCAACGTGCGGCTGCAGGGTGCGGGAGCAGCATGGCCAAGGGTATTGCAACAGACAAGAGCCTGCATCACGACGAGAGGCAGTCGCAGAAAGACACGAGGACGAAATGAGTTGAGCCACACAGCAGACAAGCCACAGATTGCATGCCGTACATTGATCACGAGCCACATGTGAAGAAAGCCGACATTGCCTTGTGATCAGGCGAGACGGGCAGGCGCAACCAGAGAAAAGGCGAGGAATACTGCCTGTAACGACTAGAGCGCCGTGCAGACAGGGCCGAAACAGGCAAGGACGACCGGGAGAAGGGAGAGGGAGGCGCGCATGGGCCAAGGAAAACCCCGCAGTTGGAGCTCTGCAGCGGCTGCCCAACGGCAGCGCAGGAATTAAAAAAAGAAACGATAAAATAGCAGCAAAGTGGGCTGGGGCATGGGGAAAAATTAGCAAATAAAAAGATGAAAAAGGCAAGTACGGAGTACATAAATAATAATGCAACTTTAAAGTGAAAAATGGTGACACCGCGTGCCGTCGCATTTCTCTCGCCCATCTCTTCTCTACGACTAGAAAGGATTACACGACGCAAAGCAAGTCTCGACCGGGACCTCGTCGTGACACGACACGCGACCACCTTTGGCCTCACTGCCCTCTCCCAGGCACTTCCTCCCCCTTTCTTACTCTTTGCCCCCCAGCGCGGCCACAGGCCAATTCGAGCTGTCGTTGGCCGTCGACTTCTCTGACCCAGTTGTGCCTCTTTTTTTCCTCTTCGGCCTCTACCCGTCGACAGCCTTGCATGGCAGAGCCGTGTTTCGGTCCCGGACCGTCTCTCCAATTGTCCGCCAATTGCCGACAGCAGCAGCAACAGCAGCGGTAGCGGCGGATCTCTGCGCATGCGCAGTAGCGAACAAGAGCAGTGGCAGCGAACACCATTGGCAGCCGTAGCCGCATATCCAGCGAGCCAGCCGGACCGGTCAGTCAGCCAGTCAGCCAGCCAGCCAGACCAGTCAACCAGCCACCGAAACCCACTAGCCGAGAAATCAGCAGCGGCTCTGGGGACCACTCTACACTGCCACCTTTCGGCTTGCGGACTCTAACCTCAAGCCGGGGCCGTCAACATCTGCACTCCTGGACAGCTCTTCTGCCAGCCTTTGTTGCATGGGTACGCGAAAGGAAAGAGGAAAAAGCCAGCAGCAGCGCAACAGCGAAAGGAGCTGCATGTCGGAGTGGGACCCAGACAGCCTGCTCTCTTCTCCGCCCTCTTTTTTTCTCTTTTGTTCTTCTCGCTTTTATAGCTCACTCTCTTGATCCCACACACCCCTACCGGCACGACCTCGTCGACTCGTCATTCTGCTCGTCTCCTCCACACCCCCCCCCCCCACCCCCCCCCGTCCTTGTCCTCTCTCGGGCACCTCGACCTCGAATCATTGTCACTCAGGTCGGCGACCATCAGCAAGGGCCGAGCCGTGGAAGTCAAGGAAATCGAGGAAAACCGAGGAAAACGAGCAGAATAAAAAACAAAAAAACAGACAAAGACAAAAAGAGCGGTGCTTATACTCTGGCGCCCCTCTTCCGCTGCCAAACCCCTGTCTTTGCGCATGCGCGTGCGCTGGCTCCTTCTCTCTCTCCTCTTCTGCCTTCTCTTCCGCCGAGGAGGCAGTTCGACTCAGCAGCTCTGGCCGGGTGGTGGCAGCTTGTGTTTCCTTCCGCTGACGCCTGTGGCCATCCTTGACCGTCAATTGGCCTGCGATTCTCGCTCTTCCACCCCCCTTCACCTCTCCGGCGCGTCTTCCATCATTGCGCTCTGCCAGCACACCTCCGACTCTCTTCGATTGGGCCGGCCTGTTCAGCCTGCTCCCTTCCCTGCGATAGCCGGAGAACGCATGTCCTTTGCGCCACATCTTGCGCCCCTGCTCTCGAGACTGTCGTCGCATACGACGCCCTTGTCCAGGCCTGGTTCTGGTCGTCACACGAAGCAACACCGACGGCCCCCTACTGCTCGCGCCCACGCTCGAGCTCTGTTTCCCTCTCCACACGCACGGGCTCACTGCTGCCGCCTGCTCACGTCGCTTGCCCACGTCACCTGCTGCAGCTGGACTTGACTTTGCTTGCCAACTGTCCGGCTGCCTTTCGGTCATCCCGGGCGCATTGGCACTCGAACAGGACGAGAGATTGGTCGTGTGCGTCCACCGCCTTGCTGCATCGTTCCGGGGCCGTCCGTCGTACCTTATTCGGCGTGCCCACATCTGGCGCGGACGTCCTCAGGAGGCACGCCCCCCCCCCCCCCCTTGGACGCCCAACCAATACTTTCCTGTTGCGTCACGGTACGGAGCAGGATATACACCACCCCTCCCATAACATTCGAACCGGTCTGCCTCTACCTGTTGGCCCAATCGACAGTTGCCAGACGCCCGTCGATCCGCCCGCTCACTGTCTCCACTCCTAGAGCGACTCTCTGTCCCCAGAGACTGTCAGCTTCGCGACAGAGCACTTGCCTGTCGTCTTGACCGATTACCGGCCACCGCTGAGAGACCAGCTACGCACCTGACGACGCCGCAGCTTTCACGACCAGTGCTGCCGTGCCACAGCTCTTGTGACACACCCTTGGCTTCACCTTCTCTATCCACACACCCCCTCCTTTCCTTGGCAAGAGAGCAGGTATCTTGCTCTGTGCTCCATGGTAACTGGCCCTTGCACCCCCACTGCGACCTCACACGCCCTCTCCCCTCCCCTTGGCCGTTGGCTCCCAATCCCGTTCTGGCCGCCCTATATAAGCCTAGGCCGCGATGATGGACGAGATGGACACCAACGAGGGAGAGCTCTCAGACGCCCTATCTGAGAACGAGTACGACGACGTACACTTGCAGCTTCTCGGAGAGAGGGATGATCACGAAGACCACACCGACGATCACCAAGACGACGATCACGACTACGACAGCGCCATGGACAAGCGGACAGATTCCAAGTCCATCAAGACGGAGGCTGGACTGGAGAGTACTGCCCCCGAGCCTAAGAAGAAGTACGATCCTAAGGACCCTCTGCGTCCTCGGAGGAAGAAGGCTCGCCGTGCCTGTTATGCGTGCCAGCGGGCTCATCTGACTTGTGGTATGTCCTTCTGACGCTACGTTCCTGCCCTTTTTGGGCTGTCCTGTGTGAATGCTGACGAGACAAAGGCGATGAGCGTCCGTGCCAGAGGTGTATCAAGAGAGGCCTCGCAGACGGCTGCCAGGATGGCGTTCGCAAAAAGGCTAAGTATCTACACGATGCTCCGGCAGATGCCCTGCGACCAGTGCTGGGCCCCAACTTCAACGCTGGCACAACGGCGGCCGTGACGACGACGACGACGCCATCTCGAACCAACGGCCATCGTCACCCGTCCAGCGCCGGCTCCGACGTCTCCGTGTCCAACGTCGGCACCTTTTACGCTCAGTCCAACACGGCACCCTACAGCGTGTTCTCGTCGGGTCAGACTCCCTCAGGCACGCTGGCCGAGAATCTGACGTTCCCGGGACCACAGTCGCCCGTCTCGCCCAGCTTTGTGTCGACGTCTGGAGCAGACGGAGCTGCCGCCCAGATGAACCGCATCGATCTGACAGCAGCGGCAGCGGCAGCAGGCCTGAGCAGCTTCTCACCGGCCCTCTTCGATCCTAGCAATCCGGCGCTGTTCAACTTCAACCTGGAGGGCATCAACTTTGGCAGTCAGTATGCAGCTATGGAGTTCGACATGCTGGGCCACATGTCCTCTGGTGCAGCCGACGACGCAAACGACCCGACGTCCTCCCTCTCCCAGCAGCCTGGCGGTGGTGTGGGCGGCTTTCCCCCGGCGGACGTCTTTGGCGGCGGCGCGAGCCAGACGCTCTTCAGCGGCGGTGCCTCGGGCACGGCGAACGGGCTGGTGAACGACTTCATCGGCCTGGACTCGTCGACAAACGGGTTCTACTCACAGGGCAACCTCCAGCACGGTCTCCCGCACGCCTACGCCATCGCTGCGGCGCCTCCGAGCCTGCAGAGCCCTAGCACAGACAACAACAGCCCACAAGCGACCGGCTACGGCTTCGAAGGATCTCCGACCATGGCGACATATGCCGGTTCCACCGGAGGTGTAGCCAACGGGAACGGCCATGTGGGCCAGGTGCTGAGCGGTGTCCGGGCTTCAGTGGCTCAGGCACAGCAGCAGCAGCACCAACAGCAACAACACCAGCACCAGACCCCACACCAGCACCAGCACCAACTGCAGCAGCACAAAGCTAGGTCGGCCATGGCAAAGCTGCTGCCACAGTCGATTCTGGGCAAGCGACACCGAGACCCGTCGTCGGTGTACGAGATGGTCAAGGAGCCGCACATGTATGTGGCCGGTTTCCATCGGCTCATCGCGCTGTTGCAGCGACGGTTCTCGGCCAGCAAGATAGTGCGGATCGCCAAGGCGCTGTCGAGCATCCGGCCGTCGTTCATCTCGTGCACGCGAACGCTGAACCGGCAAGACTTGGTGTTTATGGAAAAGTGCTTTCAGCGCACGCTCTTCGAGTACGAGGAGTTCATGTCGCAGGTGTCGAGCCCGGCGATTGTCTGCCGGCGGACAGGCGAGGTGGCTGCCGTCAACAAGGAGTTCACCGCGCTGACGGGCTGGACGAAGGAGGTGTTGCTGGGCAAGGCGCCCAACCTGAACGTGAACATGGGCCTATCGTCGGCCGTGGCAGCGGCAGGCGGTACTGGAGCGGGATCCGGTGCTGCAGCCGGAGCTGGAGGCGGAGCAGCTGGAGCAGCCGGCAGCGTGTCGGTGGGCGGCGGTTCATCAACGGGCAGTATGGACGTCGGTACGACCAGCAGTAACGGCAACGCCAACAGCAGCAGCAGCACAAACGGCGGAACGAATAGCGGGCGATCGGGACTGTCGACGCCGCGGTTGCGGGCGCTGAACGCCGAGGCAATCAAGGCGTCAGAGGGCAAGGCGCAGCCGATGTTCATTGCGGAGCTGATGGACGACGACAACGTGATTGAGTTCTACGAGGACTTTGCCCATCTGGCGTTTGGCGACAGCCGCGGGTCGGTGAACCGCAAGTGCCGGCTGCTCAAGTACCGGACGCGGGAGATGCTAGACAGCTCTGCGGGCGGCGAGTTGGGGTCATCGGCGGCGGGCTCTCAGTCGGGCTCACGTCCGGGAACAGCAGGCCAGCAGTCAGGCAATGGCAGCGGCACTGCAGCGACGGGAGTCGGCAGCAGCAGTATCCTCAGCAACCGGGTGGCCCGTATCGACGGCGAGCATGGCATCTCCAAGATTGAGCGCGACGGCAAGCTGGAATGCTCGTACTGCTGGCACATCCGACGCGATACGTTTGACATTCCCATGATGATTGTGATGAATGTGAGTTTTTCTCCGTCTCTCCTTTTGCCTGCTCTATCCTATGCTCTATCTTACTGACCTCTCAGTTTCTTCCGTGTTACTATCCAAACCAGGAGCCGCATCAGCTGGCCGTTTAGCCCTTCTTCTTGTGCTCTTCATTTCTCCTTTTTTTCCTTTATTCTTCTCTTCGTCTATTGCGTATTGTTCTACGACCACTCTGGTCTCTGTCATCCGGGCTTTTTTAAAAAAAAAGGGGGGAGGGGAGTTGGGCTGTACGGACGGGCATGGGCTGGAGTTTCATACGATTCCTACGTTTACTATTTCTCTGTTTCTTTGGCTAGGTGCATTACTTGGTTCTCTTGGCAACTATGGTTCCTACTGTTTTGGTTTTCCCTTTTTTGTCCCACCCTTTCTGGTATACCTTTGTCCTTTCATACTTTTCTGACTATTTATGTCTCTCTGTTTGTAAAAGCACAAATTTGTGTGCACAGTTTCAGCGACCAATATAAACGTCAATGGTTGAATTTGCAGAGAGCAGGCAGTGCGCATTGCTACGTGCGAGAGAGATCAGATCGGCGGCTGGTGCCTTAGTCACGTGCGGCCCCTCCATTGGCAGAAAGCTTCCCTAGAGCTGAGACATCAGCGCGATAAGACGGGTCTATGACCTGCCGAATTCCGTTGTTCTTCATCCGGCGCGAGCACAATTTTTCTTCCGCTGTACCGTGCCGTCAACTCTCGTGTAGAAGAAAGCAATGACGACATCCCGCCCGACGATTGTGGGCTCGGAGGCTGGTCCGGAGCCGCCGTATCCGGTGCGAATGGAGGGGCCGGTGATCAAGGGTTTTGGCCGGGGGTCCAAAGAGGTGTGTAGCCGGCGGTCTCTTCTCCTTTGTTTTCTTGCTCTTTCGTCTCCTTGTCTGGGCAGTCTTTGCTGACTGTCCAATTCGTCGTCCCCCTCTCGCCAGCTGGGCATTCCTACGGCAAATATGCCGGTAGACGACAAGGCGGCGCCGTGGATCGCCGACTGCGAATCGGGCGTGTACTTTGGATGGGCCAAGCTGGGCGAAGTGCCGGCTGAAGCGACGGCAGGCGCTGTGGCTGCGGCTGCGGTTTCGTCGCCGTCGACCACGACTTCGCCTGCCGGCCTATACCCCATGGTCATGTCGATCGGCTTCAACCCGTTCTACAACAACACGAGCCGGACAGCCGAGGTGCACATCCTGCACGACTTTGCCGGCGTCGACTTTTACGGTGCGCCGCTGCGTATCGCCATCCTCGGCTACATTCGGCCGGAACGCGGCGACTACGCCTCCGTCGAGGCTCTCGTCGAGGACATCCACTTCGACTGCGACGTCGCGCGGCGCTCGCTCGCACGACCGGCCTGGACCCCGGCCGGCAGCGACGGTGCCGGTACGCTGACTGTTCCGTGGTTGCTAACATAGGAGAGGTGAATGGGAGGCGACTGTGGGGCGACCCTGAGGATCAATGCATCAAAACGAAGGCAGCGATTGTGGATTGAATTTTGTTTCCAACTGTTAGACAGTAACACAACATATTGTCCTCCAGTGCTTTGACTCGACGACAGATCTACAACTTTGCCACGCACCCGTCGTCGACGTCCCCCTAAAAGTTCTCCTTGCCGGCAATGCGCTCGTTCTGCACGATCTCGACCCAGTAGGCGTCCGGATCGAGGACAAAGGCCACGTTCTTCATCCGGCCGTCGGTCAGGCGCTTCTTCCAGTTGACCTTGAGGTCCTCGAACCGCTGGCAGGCTGCGTCGATGTTGTCGACCGAGACACAGATATGTCCGAAGCCCTGCGGCTCCTTGTTGCCATCGTGGTAGCTAAAGGCCTCGTCCTTTTCGGTGCCGTGATTCCACGTCAGCTCCAGCAGGCCCTCACGGCCGGCCGTGCCCTCGTCTCCAGTCGGCTCGCCTGGGCCACCGTAGGCCAGGAAGTAGAGCGTGAAGCCAGCGGCCGGGTTGTCGGATGTGCGCACCAGCGACATGCCCATGACGTCTTCGTAGAACTGGATCGACTTCTTGGCGTCCTTGACCCGGATCATCGTGTGGTTCTGGCGGGTCAGCAGGAAAAGCTGAGCGAAGCAAGCAGACGGAGAAAACTCACCATCCGGTACGTCGTCAGATCTGTCGTCGTCAGGCCTTCAGAGGCTGCCAGCGGCTTCTGCCCAATCACCTCGACCCAGTAGCCGTCCGGGTCGAGGACAAAGGCAATGTGGCGCATGCGGCCATCGGTCAGCTTCTTCTGGAACCGGTAGCCGGCATCCTCGATGCGCTTGCAGGCAGCCTGGATGTTATCAACGGAAACGCAGGTGTGGCCGAAGCCGCGGTATGGCTCGACGTTGCCGTTGTTGATCTTGTAGGTCGGGTCGTTCTCGGTGCCGTAGTTGTGCGTCAGCTCGATGACGCCCTCACGGTCAAACGTCTTGTTGCCGGCCGAGACGGCCGATGGCGAGTCGTACGCGAGGAAGTAGAGGTCGAACTTGTTCTCGGGAAAGGACTCCTTCCGGATCTGCTTGAGGCCCAGGAACTCGTAGAACTTGACTGTGACGGTTTAGCGTTGAAGTGACAAAAGTACTTTTTTCCACGCGCGTACCTGATTCCTTCGGGTCCTTCACCCGGATCCTGTGTTTGCGTTAGACAATTGGCCACAACGCCGCACACCCCATTCCCCTAAACTGACATGGTGTGGTTCAGCTTGTACGTGCTGATATCCGTCGTGGCCGCCATGGTTGCGAGAAATCGCACTGCTGCTGCGGATGCCTTTGCCGGATGGGAGAAAAAGGCTCGAGGGATCCTGAGGCCGGTCAGAGGGCGGATAGCGTTCATCCAGACAGCCGGTCGAGGGCGATAAGCTGAAAATTTTTCTTCGTTTTCGGAGCGTTCCAGAAAGAGACAGGAACCGCCAGAGATAAGTAAACGTCAGTACGAAGCCGACGCTTGTTGCACTACTCCGCATCGTCTCGGATGCGGGGCAGCTACACGTCCGAGCTTGCGCCTTCCCTTTCGGAGGACAGCGGCAATTCGGCGATGATCTACATCTTGTCATCACATCATTTACACAGCATACAGGCCCAACGCAAACAGATCAATTGAGCAGAGTCGCTCTCAAAGACAGACGTGTTACCGGTATAGAGTTGCTAACAAGCTGTACCCACTGTTCTTACTGGAAATACAGCAGCTCACAGCATCTCACAGCACTTCCCAGCTGTCTTCACGGTCGAGGAAGACGGGCTCTTCCACGTCGTCCAGCCGGTCCACGTACACCGTGTCGGCGTGTCCGCTGCGCATCGTCACCTGTCCGTGTTGCAGCTGTCCCTCCAGCTGGGCGGCACTGGTACTGGCGTTTCCGGCCGCCACCGCAGTCGCCACCATGGCCGCCAGGTTGTTGGTAAGGAAGCGTCGTGCTTCGGCTGCCACGACCACAGCTTGCTGCAGCACTGCTGTGGCTGTGTCGTGCAGTTGGTGGCCTGTTGTCGCTGGTGGTCGCGCCGCCTGCACGCGCTCCAGCAGGTCGTGCGTGGCCTGGCGCAGTCGCTGCAGCCGCGGCAGCACATCGAGCCGGCCGAGTTGCTGCACCACCTGGAGGCCGAATTGCAAGGCATCATGCCGGCGGCCGACTGCTGCGGTTGTCGCGGTTGGCAGTCCCGACAGAATTGCTGCAGACTGGCTCGTCTCGGTGCCGGCTACGAGCGCGTCCGTGTCGGCCGACAGGCAGGGCACCTGCATCATGTCCATGCTGCTGTAACCATCGGTCCTGGCCGAAGATGTCGCAGCAGGACGCTGGGCCGGGCTAAAATGATGCACAGGACTGCCACTTTGGCTGTAGATCGGTTCATCACTCTCCTCGCTGTACTCGCTGTCTTCGTCGCTCTCCCCTCCCCCACTATTGTCGTTACCGTCGTTACTGTCACTGTCTTGATAAACACCATCACACGATGTCCGTGGCTCGTAGTTTAGGAAAACGTTAGGCAGAGGTTTTTCACATATATCAAGACCGTAAAGCTGGAGCGTCTGTCTCATCATTTTCATATAGTAAAGGCGAGCAGCCGCATCTGGGCTATTCGCATTCGGCTGACCTGACTGGTTGTGGTCCATTGTGCGTGGCAGCCTTTTCTTGGCCGTTGTTTGGGACTCCATGGTAGGTCCTCTGTGTTCGTAGTTGTGGGAAAGTTGGGACTGCGGTTGTTTCTGCAATTTCACACTGCTCCTTCCTTGGCGGCTCTTTAATACTACCTCTGCGTAGTCCACTTGCGAATTCTGACTTTGTTCCCTCATCTAAGCTTTCTAATCCCCCAGTTTCTCTAGGGCTCTGAATAATGCACTTCTATACTGTAGTGTTGGACACACGGCAGGCTTTCGCAAGCGTCGAGCGGGAGGGATGAGTGAGGAGATGACAGTGGCAACTCGAAAAAGTCTGTCATAATTATACAGCCCTGTTCGCGCGGCCTAATAGTAACAAAGGAAGTCATGCTCTCTTCTGTCTCCAATACACAGCTATACACAGTGGAAGAGACAGTGCATCGTCGCCCGGCGATGCTTGCAACCGTCTCGCTTTTTTTCTTCATCTTTTCTATTTTCTCTCGTTGTCGTCATGGGCACTGCGGCTCCCGTCCTCCCCTACTTCTTTGGCTCCTCCTTCTTCTCCTCTGGCTTCGGTGTCGGCAGCTTGAACGTCTCCGGCGTCTTGTCCAGGCCGGCGCCCACCTGCTCCCAGGAGCTCGAGCCGCCCTCAAAGTTGCGGAACGCTTGCGTCAGCTCCAGTGGCTCCGTCACAATGCGCTTCTTCTCCTCGTCGTAGCGAAGCTCCGTGTAGCCTGTCACCGGGAAGTCCTTGCGTAGCGGGTGGCCCTCAAATCCGTAGTCCGTCATGATCCGCCGCAGGTCCGGGTGGTCCACGAAGAAGACGCCGAACATGTCGTACACCTCACGCTCGTACCAGTTCGCACCGTCGTACAGGCTGGTCACGCTGGGCACCGGCGAAGCCTCATCTGCATACGTCTTGACCCGGATCCGCGAGTTGTGCCGCACGCTCAGCAGGTTGTACACAATCTCGAACCGCTGGTCGCGCGTCGGGAAGTCCACGGCCGTGATGTCGCTGATCTGCGTGAACTCGGCCGACGTGTTGTCTGGAACGTCAGCAACCTGGCTCTACTGCCCGTCTATTCGTCTTCCCGGGCTGCAAACCTCATGCACCACTTACACTTCAAAAAAGTAAAGACCGGGATGACGCCCGACGGCGGGATGTAGATGGTCAACTCATCCTTCCACACCGAGAACTGCTGCACGTACTTGGGCAGCACGCTCATCAGCCACGCCCCGTACCGGTGCATGTTGTCGGCCATCAGATCGAACTTGTCCGCAGGGTTGACCACCGGCGCCTCCAGCGTGCCAATGGGCTCGCGCGGTGCTTGCCGCATGTTGGTCGCATCCTTGGGCAGCTTGACGACATAGTTCTGCATCGAGCTGCTGTTCGACAGACACCGGACTGCGCCGCCGGCCTGCTTCTGCACTGCCGGTGGGCCCGGCCGCGTCGCCCGAACAGCCGAGGCCAGTGCCCGGCTCCGGCAGATCCTGCTTGCCATTGTGGGACCTGTGAATGTGGAGCGGAAGATGAAAACGACCTGGTCGGTCGGAGGGAGATCGGGTCGGTCTGGGGGCCCAATGCAATCGCCGAAATGGTGCTGTTGCTCGCGAGCGCCGGATGGGGGGAAAAGCGACGTCGATTTTGCTTGACCGAGATAATTCGCTTCGACCGGATTGGCTGCTTGTCAACGACCGCGGAAGTCGGCGAAACTATGTTCCACCTTGACCAGACCAACTCGCCCTCTATCAAGCCTGATGCTGGCGTAACGATTCCAATGGACATGCAATTTACTCGTGGATATACAAGCAACCTATCAAGGCGTCATGTAGCGTGAACAATGGACCGTCAGTTCACCGTGTCCCCATGGTTTTGCTGGTCTAACATGCATCATCACCTGTTGGGTGACGTGGGTGACCCCCAACCGTGACTGGCCACGTGCCGTAATATTGCCTATCTAGGCTAGAAATGGAATAGCATTATTCCGCGCTTGCCTGGGCGAAGTCTCCCAGTCGTTTTCTCGTTCGTTCTGTCCCGGATCCGCTAAAATTGCCTCCGTACAAACAATTGCTGCCAACAAAGTATTTTCCACAGGGCCCTCCTTTTTTTCGTCCTATTCTTCCCTCCATCACAACGTTCCAACCCGTCTAGACCAGGCTTCATTTCTTGTGTTTTGCTGTTCGGGCGTTTTAGGCGATCACCAACTCACGAAACGGTTTCCCCCTCTTTGTTTGATTGAAACGACACCAATTTACCCGTTTTTCCAACTTGCCGTTTGTCTGGCGCTTTTTTATATCGAAAAATTGTCGCACCTATTTCCACCGACTTTCGTCCCCTTCAGGCATCCCGACAGCACTCTTCTTGACGACCCAGCTTCCAGTTCGCTAGAGTACCAAAGCCCAGCCCATTCTTGGCCGTTTCTGCGATCACGCCCTCGTCACCATGGCACCCCAAGATACTTTCATCGAGGATGAGGACGACACATGGTGCGTTTAGCTGTTCTAATTTTTCTTCTTGCCGTTTGGCAGCTAACACTGGCTACCGATCCAGTCCCCTGTGCATCGAAGAATTCGACCTCTCAGATCGAAATTTTCGGCCATGTCCGTGTGGATACCAGATCTGCCAGTTCTGCTTTAACAACATCAAGCAGAACATGAATAGTCTTTGTCCGGCATGTCGACGCCCATACGATGAGAAGTCCATACAATGGAAGGTCGTCACGTCTGAAGAGTATGTTTTAGAAGCAAGCTTCTGACCCGCCTGCAAAAGAAAGAAAACTGACAAATTCAACCAGAATCGCCGAGTTTCGTTCCAACATCCAAAAGAACCAAAAGAAAAGAGCTGCCGAGCAGCGGCAGAAAGAGGTTCAGAAACGCGAGGCTGAGAAAGAGAATCGAAAAAACCTTGTTGGTGTGCGGGTTGTTCAGAAGAATCTTGTCTATGTGACGGGATTGAATCCGACCGTACGCGAGGACGAACTGTTGAAGACGTTGCGGAAACAGGAATTCTTCGGTCAATATGGCAACATACAAAAGATATCCATCAGCAACCGCAAGAGCCCTGACGGTTCTCCCTCTCTTGGAATCTACGTCACCTTTGAAAAGAAAGACGAGGCGCAGCGGTGCATTCAGGCTGTCAACGGCTCCGTGAACGGAGAGCGGACGCTGAAGGCACAGCTAGGTACCACGAAGTACTGCTCTGCTTGGCTTCGGCACGAACAGTGCACGAATCGGCAATGCATGTTCTTGCACGAGTTGGGAGACGAAGAAGACAGCTACACCCGGCAGGACCTCTCATCAATGAACAGTATCAACACCCAGCGTCCTCTGAACTCGGCTTCACGATCGGCGTCGAGACAGCAGAGTCATCCAGTTGCGGTTCAGGTCGCCACTGTTGCTGCAGCACAGCCCATGGCACGCACCGTAAGCAAAGATGGCTCAGAGAACGAGGATGCGTCGGCGCTGCCCTCGTCTGCAAATTGGGCGAGAAATACCCAGGCTCGAAGCAGGCGCGGCAGCTACGCAACAAGCGGCGCTGCTACTAGCCCGGCCGTCTCCATGTCACTACCGGTAACTGCCGAATCCGTCCAGGAATCTATCGAGTCTCCGATTCAAGAGGAAGCTGTTCTTGCGCCCGGAACTAACCCTGCTCAAGTGAAAGTGAAAGCAACCACCGACACGACTCTCTCCAAGGCTCAAGATGCAAAAACCAAGAAAGAAAATGACGCATTGACCAAGCTCTTCTTGAGCCTTGTACAGGCGATGGAGAAGTGCAGCCTTCCGTCGACTTTCCTGCTCGATGGAATCACACTGGACGCGCACCCCCCTCTGTTTGACCCACGTGGAGGCGAAAAGCGTCGGGCTCTACGGGATGACGAGAGCCGTCTCGACGTGGAGCAAGAGGAGCAGCCGGCCGAAGCCCGAGAGCCGCTTGAAGACGAACCGGAGAGCAGTGGCAGCTTAGCATTGGGCGGCGAGCCTGAGGACCGCGAGCAACGCCGTGTTGAGCACACCTTTGACCAGCGACGTGGCGGACCGCCACCACCGCTTCAGCGGGCCACTACTGACAGTCTGTTTGGATCGTTTGGAACAAACTACATCACGAACGCAAACCCGGGAACTATTGGTAACCGTACCATGACTCCTCAGCAGCAGCCTCTCTACCAGCGCACGCCAAACAGCTTTGCGGACCATCCTCCTCCAGGCATTGCCCCAGCGCAGTCACTGTTTCAAGGCCAGGCACACAGCCGTCAGCAGTCGCGATTTGGATTCGGAAATGAGGGCGCGGCTGGTAGTGCTGCAACGATCAAGCTGGCGGCGAACCCGCGTCTCATGGCACAGCAATCGTCGATGATGCCGCAGTCGCTTCATGCACAGAACACGCCGTACTATGCGGCTTCCATGCCGGGGCCTCCCCCCGGGCTGAAGTCGACGGGTACGCCTCCGGCAATGTTCGGGCACGGGTTCGGTGCTTCGGGATTCGGTGGCAACCCAAAGGACGCGCGGGATTCGGGACAGTTACTGCAGGAGATTATTCGAAACAGAGGCAGCGCCAGCAGCCAGGCGCATGAGGCAGGCAAGCGTGAGTACATGTTCCCCTCTTTCCTTAGCCAGTACCCATCGTCCGGCTCTTCATCCCCCGTTCCTGCACCCGGCTTCTCGGCGTCGCTCTACGGTACCCCGCCTGGAGCATTCCAAGACATCGGGTCAAAGCAGAAGAAGAAGGGGAAGAAGCACAGACATGCTAACACTTCCTCCTCTGGGGGGAGTGGCTTAGTGGATCTTGCGGACCCGAGTATCCTGCAGGCAAGACTGCCTCACCAGCAGAGCAACGCCGGAGTCGGTCAGGGACTCTTCGGGGGTCAGGCCCAAGGTGGGTACAACCCGAGCATGATGTACAATGCTGGCTACCCCCGATGGTGAGAGGGCGAGGGTGCGCGCGAGAGAGAGCGTGAGCGAGAGCGAGATGGAGAGAGGAGCACCGAGAGACAGGCCACAACTCTGGTCTTTCGTTCCCTTTTGAAGATAAAATGCCAGCGACCCCCTTCATATTACATTCACATCACATACCCGCACCCTATCCCTGTGCTGTCTCTTTTTCCATTTTGTCTTTAGTTTTTTCGTCTTTTTCGTCTATTCATCTTGGTCTTGTATCCGCAGATCGGCGTTGGGATGGATTTCATCGAGGTCACGTTCGGGCTGTTGTCTGCTTTTCAACGCCTGATGCCTCGCATGGGGTATAGCATTTTGATTTTGCATTTGGAGCTGAATACTGCATGACGAATTGGTGGCGGGAACGGAGTGCATCCCAGACCGATTGCAGTGGGAAATCTTATGACGGGATCTCTCGAGAGAAGAGGCCACGATTTTATGACAGTGCTTCTCGGCATCGACCCGTCTACTTTTCAACGCTCCAAAGTTTTTGGTCCGGATTCCGGAAGAGTCGTCATGCCAGGCAAGCCATTACCGTCTTTCTCTCGAGGGATTTGCAATGTATGTTAACACGGGCCTAGTTTTATTATCTTTTTTTTTCTCAGTGTCAAGAGGGTGCGGGAATCAGACTGGTCGCGCTGTTCATGGTCACCTTAATACCATAAAGAGACTTTTGTGCCCTCACAATTTTGTGCCACACTGTAACTTGACCACGTCGACATGTCTGTGCCTCTAGAGGAAGGCAATGACAGCTGCGTTGCCATAGATTTCTGTTCCCGCGCCCGGATGTCGTGTATATATATTGCAATCTGCTTTGCGGCTTCGAGGGGTTTGGGCTGGTGTTCTGTTGGCCTGTCTCCTCCGCAGTCTCGATACCCTGCGTTCTCGTCTCTCGTCTCTCGTCTCTCGTTCTCGTTCTCGTCTCGCGTTTCGCGTCATTCCTGCACCTCTTTGCCATCATACCCTCCTGCTTTCTGAGTTGTATCTTGTGAAAAGGAGACTGACATTGGCATTGCAGACGACGACTTGTCGGGTTTCCACGAAGCAGTCTCAATTGTGGACGCATTGGTGTCTGACGAGCAGAGCTTGCCGAGCTTGCCAAACTTTATATCTGGCGCTCTGGACTCGCCTCTACGGACAGGCACGCCTTTGTTTCCACCTGGCTTCGGCCATGTGCACGGATTTCCGACGCCGACACCACCGCCTGGCCTTGGGCGGCCGATGACGCCGGCTTCGGTTGGCACGGCCGCCAGCCAGACGGTGCTGCGGCCGGCTGTGCCGCTTATTCCGATCGATTCGCCACTGGCGAAGAAGGCGGCACGTGTTGCCAGCGGAGGCATCGTCACAAGCGGCGAGGCAAAGAAGACGGGAGGAAAGGCGGTAGAGAGTCCACTGGTCAGACATGCCACACCGCTGGCAAGGACTGCGTCTCCGGTGCCAGTTAAGAAGGCGGTGCTACTGCAAGAGGAAGACTTCCCTGCTCTCGATGTGCCAGCAAAGGCAGCAACATCGACATCGACGCACACGGTTCCAGCGGCGACGCCACGCAAGACGTCTAACATTGTCAAGACGGCGGCAGCAGCTGCAGGGACGAAAGCAGGACCAGCCGAGACACCACAGATGGCGACAAAGACAGCAGCCGCCGTGGCCTTGGGCGCGGGTTCGGTGGTGCCTTCTCGGGTGGCGACGCCTGTCAATGAGAGCAAGAAGGACAGGGCAGACAAGAAAGCGGCACTGGGAGTGCTCAACATCACGGCAGCGGTCAAAACGGTGCAGCCGAAGGCGACGACGAGTGTTGGAGTTGCAACGGCTGCTGCCGGGACGACGGAGAGCAGTCCTTCGGCAGAGAGCGTGATGACGGCGGATGCATTCCCATCGCTGCCGACACCGACAGCATCGGTGAGTACGGCCTCGGCCTGGTCGCCGGTGGTGCGGGCAACACCCAAGACGCTGCGGGTGGTGCAGTCGGGGGCATCTGGCAAGACGACGGCCGAGGCGTTGGCGGCGGTGATGTCGCGGTCGTCAGCGGTGCAGGCGTTGAGCCACGGCAACAACAGCAACCGACCGGGTACGCCGGCAAGCGAGATCATCTCGGACAACGCGTCACTTTTGTCAGCATCGGTGCCAGCATCACGGGCGGGCTCACCCCCGCCGTCTCGAATCGGGTCGGCGGCTGTACGGACGACGACAAAGAGCCAGCAGCGGAAACAACGCAAGCAGGCGACGAAGAAGGAGGCGGCGACGATTGCGAGCCAGCCGGTGCCAGAACAGCCGGAAGAGGAGGAGATTGCGCCGATTATGGGCCGCAAGAAGAAACAGAAGAAGGAGAAGCCGAGCAAGAGCGTGCCGGTGGCCTCGACGACGTCTACAGCACAGCCAAAGGACGAAAAGACGGAAAAGGCAAAAGAGGAGGAGCAGCAGAAGCAGCAGCAGGGCGAAGAAGCTGCGGCCAAGGAGGTCGCCAAGGCAAAGACATCTGCAAAGCAGAAAGACGACAGCAAAGACAAGACAGTCGCGACACCCAAAGAGAAGTCTGCAGTCCAAAAGGGCAGGACTGCCAAGGGTAGCAGTAGCACGGCGACGACTGTGGTGGCCTCTGGTGTGTCGAAGACGGCAGCGGTGTCTACGGCGACGACTACAGTTTCGGCTGCTGCGCCCACGACTACACCGATATCCACAAGCACAGCCACAGCTGCGACTACGACTACAGCTGTGTGCACGGCTACAGCTTCAGCTGCATCGGCAATTGCACCGGCAACTGCAGCTGCGAACGGCATGACGACGGCGAAACCGCGGACGCGGGAGGAAGAGATGCTGGAGGCGGCGCTGGACGAGGCGAGCCGGATTGCAGGCACGGAGCGAATTCTGGCGAACATGGGGCCGGAGATCGAAGTCGAGGGCAGGACGCCGTTTGACGTGGTCCGAGACATGATTCGACACGGGATGGTGACGCACGAGCGGGACATTTCGGTGTTCTGGCGACAGGATCAGCTGACGGCGCAAGGCATGACGGCAGCGGCAGGACGGCGCGAGAAGACGATTATTGGCGACGCAATGCTGCAGCCGGACGTGATTTTCAGCGACGAAGACCGGGCGACGCTGCTGGCGGACAATGTGGTGCGCAAGGAGATCGACGGGGTGCGGCTGATGGCGACACCAAACGGTGACTGCGTGCGCAACTTGACGGAGGAGGAGGAGAACCGATATTTGGACCTGCAGCGACGGGTATTAAAGATGGCCGCGACACCGATGGCGTATCGCCATCCACGATACGAGACGACGGGGGGGTTTGCATTGATTAGTAAGCGGGCTGTACCGTGTGGAATGCCGGGATATTTTCCGGCGGCAGGTGGTATCGGGAGCAAGGCAGCTGTGGCAGCAACTGGGGCATTGACTGGGACAGCGAACATGGCAGCGGCTGCCGGCCAGACCGGCCAGACCGGCCAGATGGATCCAGTAGCCAAGATCCAGCGCGAGGAGGCAGTGTACTGGATCAACCAGTACGTGCTGCCACGACTCAACGTGCTGCCCCAGAGCGAGGCGGAATCGTGGAAGTCGATGCTGGCCGACACGGGAATGCCACAGTCTGTCGGCGCAGCGACAGTGGCGCCCTGGATCTATCACACGCCCGACATTCGGAACATGTTTGACCATGCCTGCTGTGAGCACGACCACGGCCACAGACACGGCCATGTGCAGCATCATCATCACCATCACCATGATCACGATCACGTTCACGATCACGTTCACGATCACGTTCACGATCACGATCACGATCATGGTCACGACCACGACCACCATGACCATCATGACCACCACGAGGACGACGACTATGACGAGTACGAGGAGGACGAGGACGAAGATGAGGATGAGGATGAGCTCGAGGACGAAGACGAGCTGGAACATGCGGTGCGGCCGATGAGCGTGGAGGATGCCGAGGCGTCGCTGATCCAGGCACGACGGGACGCGGCCACGCTGGGGCGCACGCTGGGAATGCTGATGAAGAAGAATCGGCGGGTGCTGATGATGCCGCCGTATTACGAGCAGCAGACGCGGGCTGCAGCGGGTGGAGGTGGAGGTGGTAGTGGAGCAGCCATGGCAGCGGCAGTGTATTGAGTTGGGAGGGAGATGAGAGAGAGGAGAAAGGACGAGAATGAATGGACAGAATACATTACAACTATTAAATACACATGAGTATTACTAATCATCCTAAACTGTATCCTTCTGCATCGTCCGTCTGCCCAATAGCTTCTGCTCGTTGCTTGGCACAATGAAGGATCTGTTCTTCGATCCAGGCGAGCAGCGCATCCTGTCCACGACGGTCAAGGCCGTCATCAGAGGGGTCGACGCCAAGGACGCGAACATGGAGCTCTGCAGCGCGAGCAGCGGCCTCGACCTCTTCCGTGCTGGGTCCGTCGTTCAGGTCCAGGTTTTCCTCCCAAGCGATACGACGGATGCCGCGGCGCATCAGTTCGCCGAGCTCGGCGGCCTGGCTGGCGTACGACTTGTTTGTGGGTATATCTGGGTCGAAATCGGTTTCGTCGGCAGCGTCGTGCAGCAGCAGGGCGGCCGGGATGTCCAGCAGAGTGTCTCGGTGGGGATAGTCGAGGTGGATGCGATGTGACTTGACGGACTCGAAGGGAACGACGGGCCTGACGTTGGGCACGTCCTGGGGATGGAAGGCGTCAGGCAGCAGGACGGGGCCGATGGAGAGGAAGAAGAGGTCCGGGCTGGCAAAAGGGTCGAGCAAGTCGGGCGGGCGGACAAAGAGTTCGTCCAAGAGCGGAAGGGCAAAAGGAGCGGGGTCGATGGAGCTGAGTGTGGCAGCGTTCATCTTGATGTTTTTTTGGCGATTGTAGGTTTGGACGCGGCTCCAGCGGTCGATGAAGACAGACCAGTCATAGATGCCGTTGTAGGCGGCGAGGCCACGGACAGAGGTGCGTTTGTAGGAAAAGGACTCGGTCAGGGCGAGAGAGGCGGCCAGGCCGGCGCCGAGATGTTCGCCGTAGACGAGGATGGGACGACGCAGGTTCTTGCGCAGCCAGTCGTAGCCAAAGAGGACGTCGTGTAGAGGAGCAGGCCAGAGACGGGACGGCCGCATGTCCGAGAGCTTGTTCAATGTGTCATCGTACTCGGTCTGGAGCGTCTCGTAGGTCCGGTCGGGCGGCCAGGCCCAGCGATAGGGCACCGAGGCGACAGGGCAGAGCTTCTGGCGGCGAAGAAAGTCGGGCAGCGGGGCGGAATCGACGGCACCGCTTGGCGGCAGGTAGAGCAGCAAAGGGGTCCATCGAGGATGTTGTCGTTCGTGATAGAGGCTGATGGTGATGGGGTCGTCCGAAGCACACGGCACGGCAATGTGGCGGGGGTGGGTGGAAAAGGCGCGACAGAGCAGGCGGTGGTGGACGAGGCGCCGGCCTGGTGGCAAGCTGAGGCCTCGGATGGCCATGGGAGTATGAGGCGAATGGAGAGGCTCAAATTGCCAGGTGACATGGTCTCGATCTGGATGGATGCAGTCAAGCTCGCCGCTAGCACGTGATGGTGGCCAATGACGGTTGCGTCTGCCCATTCTAGCCCGTCTACGGAAGAAGCCCAGATTCTTTGTCTGCTTTCTAGCAGCATTCCAACGTCATCTGCTCCAACATGCAGCCTTTCCCACACGGCCCAGTCCTTTCTCGCCCGGATGCATCATCCTTTCCGACAGCAGGGACGTGCACAGCGGGCGACCGCGCGAGCAGGATCTGATCACGATGCTGGACGCCTCGGTCGACACGGCCACAGAGCACGTCGATGGTCCGGGCAGCAAGGAGCAGAACGGCGACGATGAGCCGTACCGGATCGCTCGGCTGCCGACAGAGAGGGCCAAGAGCGATGCAGGCGCGGACGAGACGCAGCCGAGCCGCTGGTGGTTTGCGGCCACGGCCTTTCCCATGGCAGCCGGCACGCTGGGCCCCGTGGCTTCGGCCTTTAGCATCTGTGCGTTGGTGCGGCCTTGGCGACAGGAGATTGTGGCCGGGACGACGATCGAGACGGCCGTGTTCATCGACGATCCCGTCTGGCTGACGGGCATCAACGCCGTGCAGCTGGCCATTGCCGTTGCGGCCAACATGTCGCTGCTGCTCAACATGGCGCGGCGAATCCGGTTTGCAGTCGCACAACCGGTCACAATGGTCGGCTGGTCCATCTCAGCCTTGACGCTGGTGGCACTGACGGCGACAGGAGCCCATCCGCTGCGCCGTGGACTCGGTGGCCGCGACGTCGTCTGGTCGCAGGCCTTTTACTACGCCATCTACGCGGCCGTGCTGTACGCCGTCGTGGCCTCGCTGATGGTGGCTACGTATGTTGGCGCTGCCACTGGTCGCTACGACAAGGACTTTCAGCTCAACAACAGCCAGCGCACGCTCATGCTGCAGACCATTCTCTTTCTCCTCTACCTGCTCGTCGGCGCCCTTGTCTTCTCCACCATCGAGGACTGGGCCTTTCTCGATGCCGTCTACTGGGCCGATGTGACCCTCTTCACCGTCGGCTTCGGCGACCTGGCCGCCCAGACAACCCTCGGCCGCGCTCTGCTCTTCCCCTATGCTCTCGTTGGCATCATCAGTCTCGGTCTCGTCATCGGCTCCATCCGCAGCCTCGCTGTCGACCGTGGAAAACGACGCCTCGATGCCCGCATGGCCGAGAAGAACCGTCGCCGCTGTCTGCGCCGTCTTACCCGCGACGGCGCCGACGATATCTTGCAGCCCATCACAGACGCGCCTGCCCCTCTCGCCGAGCTTCGCCGCCGTGAGACTGAGTTCAACCTGATGCGTCATATCCAGCACGCCGCTGCCCGCCGGCGTCGCTGGCTTGCCGTCGCCATGTCCGGTGGCACCTGGCTGCTGCTCTGGCTCGTCGGCGCCTACATCTTTCAGACCTGCGAGGCCCCCTACCAGCACTGGGACTACTTTGACGGCTTCTACCTGGCTTTTGTCAGCCTGACTACCATTGGCTATGGCGACGTCACCCCCATGTCCAATGCCGGCAAGTCTTTCTTCGTCTTCTGGTCGCTCCTCGCTCTGCCAACCACCACTGTCCTCATCTCCGACGCCGGCGACACCATTGTCAAGGGCATCAGTGATGCCACCAACGCCGTCGGCCGCATCACCATCCTGCCGGGCGAAGCCGGCCTGAAGCGCGACCTCAAGGAACTCGTGCGCGCCCTGACCTTTGGCGCCGTGTTTTCCGACCTGGACGACGACGAAGACGGAGACGAGGACGAGGATGAGGAAGACTCGGATGTGCTGCCACCGGGGCTGTTGGGGGCGGCCCAGCCGCGACCAGAGGATCGCCAAGAACGGGAGGAGCAGCGAGAAGAGGATACAGAGGAGATGGCGGATGAGGAGAGAAGAGGTGACCGGGACAGTGAGCAGAGAGACGACTACGACAAAGGTAGCACTCTTGCAACCGGCAGCAATGCAGAGACAGCAGGAGGGCAACCAGCACCGATCGACGGACAGCGACGGCGACATGGCCGCAGAAGAGACCTTGGCTATCGACTGGGCACGCTGTCCACGCTGTCGATGCCGCGTGTCGACATCCCACAGCGGCTGCCGTCGACTCGGGAAGCATACCACTGCATGCTAGCCGACGAGATTGCCCGCGTGACTCAGCACATGCGACACGTGCCGCCGCGCAGGTACGCCTTTGCCGAATGGGCATGGTTCCTCAAGCTGGTCGGCGAGGACGAGCGCAGTGCCGAGATGCACGGCCGCGCGAGGCCGACCGAGACGACTAAGAGGACCGAAACAGATTCACCAGACAGCGATCACACGCCCTGGAGCTGGGTTGGCTCGCGTAGTCCGCTGATGAGCGGCCAGGAAGAGGCTGAGTGGGTCCTCGACCGTCTCACCAGGCGACTGCAGGCCGAGCTGCGCCAGGTCGAGACCCAGCAGACGTCGGGTGACATATCAGCACCTCAGGCCATCCAAGAAGAGGTGTGATGCTTACACATTGTTCGGATATAACGATGCGGAGATTCTATTGAATTACTGATAGTACGGATACTGCAAAATACTACATTGGTTTGCCTAGACACGTGCCATAACATGTGACATGTCCCTACTCAACTTTCACACCCCCCCCTTGACGGCAGTCAGATAGCCAGCCCGTAGAAGCGGTCGCGGGTCAAAACCAAGATCCTCATAGTTGTCGGAGCTGCGCAGTTTGGCCACGACCGCTGCCGTGGCCGCGTCGTCTTCTCTGGCCACTGTGGCCGTTGCAAGATCGGCCAGGTGCTGAAGGCTCTGGTTGGTGGCCGTTTCGACGTCGGTCGGCGCTGTTGTGGCCATGGCCATGCTCGCACCACTGGACCGCTGCTGCAGCGCTTCGTTGAGAGTCTCTCGCAAAGGCGATGTCCATGCGGCTGCTGTCGATGGAAACGGCTGAGCCTGAGCGCGAATCGCCGTCTCGCCGTCGCCGTCGCCGTCCACAGCACCACCACCACCCGTGCTGCCCTCCTCGGCATCCAGCACACCCAGCAGCGCGCTCGCTGCTGCCATTGCTGTCTCACGGGCGTCCCCGCTGCTGCTGGTTTGCTGTAGCATCGCCGCCAACACCACCGCCGGCAAAGCCAGAAAATACGGGTACAATGGACTCAGACGCGCCGTCACGGCCGCCGCGCCGCCTTGTCGCGATGACAACGACAGCGCTGACACGGACACCAGAAGCGCAACACCCTGGCTCGCCGCCCAGACCACATCTGTCGCCAGGGCAGACGGCATCGCCAGGTACGCCAGCAGCCGGTAGTGCCAGTACGCCAGGTGCACCACCGGCTCGCTCTCGTCCGTCGCTGTCGCCGGCAGGTCCACACGCCACATCTCCAACGCTGCTTCGATGCGCCCACCCAAAGCCGCGCCGCTGCCTGGCGGCATCGCCTGTGCTGTCGCTGGGCCTAGCACAAGAGGCGCGATGCTCGATCCAAATAGGTACGAGAGTTCTGCTTAGTCAGATCACGTGACCCTGCCAATACAATGCCGAAATTGAGAATGAAAAGGAGAAACCATGTACTCACTCATCAGCTGGAAAGCTCCTTCGCCCACCAGACCGCGCAGTCCCGGCGAGAGGACGACGCTGTCCTGTGGCACCAGCAGAGGTCGCGCCGTGGCCACGGCGTTCCATCGGTCCAACGTCACGAGCGCCCACCACGCACGCAGCACAAGTCGGCCATCCGAATCCGCGTTCCCATCTGCTTCTGCTGTCGTTCCCTCGCTCGAAAGCTGCGCCTGTGGCAGCCCCAAACCATAGGCCGCCGCCACAGCCCGTGCCAGCAGTGCCGTCTTGGACAGCACGCCGTGGCGGCCTTGCAGCGACGCCGGGCCGTGGCTGTCGGCCTCAACAGCCAACAGCAGCAGCGTCTGCAGATGGACGAGGCCCTGCGCCCGCGATCCACCGCCGCCTCCATCGGCCTCCCATTGCCCCAGTAGGCTGCAGGTCGTCCGGCTGCCGTCCGTGCTGCCGGCACCGCCGTCGTACACCGCCGCCACTGCCTGCAGTGCCGCCACAAAGGCCCCCTGCAACAACGGCGTACACTGCACCAGCAGCTCCATCGCCCGGCCCCATGAGCCCGCCAAAAACGGTAGTGTCGGGTGCACCACTACTAAGTAGCTGTTGTATATCTCCTCGTCCAGCTCGAGGCTCGCTAGCTGCGTCTGCTGTTGTGTCTGATGTGCCTGTTGCTGCTGCTGTTGCTGTTGGGGAGACGTGTCCATTTGGCCTGTCAGCGGTAGCAGACGTTCCATGTCGGTCAGCGGTGGCCGTGTTGTTGCCGACGATGACGACAGTACGCCAACATCCTCGCCCGCTGCCTCTAGTACCGACCCTCCGATGTGCGGCTGTGGTGCCAGACTCGCCGCCGAATAAGTCGAGCCGCGTGCTGCTGCTGCTGCTGCTGCGGCTGCTGTCATCGCCGTCATCGCCGTCTGGTAGCCGTGTTGCTGCATCGACCGTCCCGATGGCGTGGCCCAGGCTGCATGACGGCTGCCACTGTTGGCATTGCCGTTGACACTGTTGCCGCCGTTCGTGTGGTTGCTGCTGCTGCTACTGTTTCCTGTTGGACCCGTCTGGCTGCCCTGTGCTGCCTCACCGGCCATGGCTGCATACGGCCGCTTGGCATTGTCGTTGAGCGCAAATGTCGAATACGCCTCCGCCGACTCGCGACGGACACCACCTCCGCCTCCTCCCCCAACAACACCACCCAACAGATCGAGCGCGTCTGCCGTAGCTGCCGCTGCTGCTGCTGCTGACACACCACCGCCACCACCGCCGAGCTTGCCCTCGATGCTGTTAATCCGGTCCGCCAGCTCCTTGATATAGCCTTTGCTGGGACCTCGCTTCTGCGGCACCCGGCTGAACAGACACGACACGTGCGACCGCCGGCAGTTGCTACACTGCTCCGCCTCTGAAACCGAGTCGCACTTGATCTTCTTGCGCCGGCACGCGTCACACGCCCGCGACACCTTTGATCGCTTGCGCGGCGGGATGTGGTCCACGCTGGTCGAGTATGCCTGCTGCGCCATCTGCGCCATCTGCAGCGATGTCGGCAGCCCATGGCCCCCGTCTCCGTATCCGCCGTGGTGGTACACAGCTGCTGCAGCTGCTGCTGCCGCTGCCGCTGCTGCTGCGGCCGACGACGTGTCCTGGCCACTGCCGCCGTATCCCCCCGACTCATCCGTCCCCCCGTCTGCGTACTCCTCCACCTCGCCGTTCTGGCGGCCGCCCGCTGCCGCCTGCTGCCGCATCATCGGCGCCAGGCCCTGGCTCAGCTGTGCTGCTAGCTGCAGCTCCTCCACGCTCACCGTCGAACGGCCAGCTCCACTGCCCTGATGTTGCTGATGTTGCTGGTGTTGCTGCTGCTGCTGCTGCTGCTGCTGTGGATGCTGAGTCGGTGTCTGTTGCTGCTGTTGCTGTTGTTGTTGTTGCTGTTGCTGTTGCTGCGAGCCGTCATGGTCCTGGACGTGCTCGTCCTGCTGTCCCTGGTCCAGCGACGCGTCGCCGTATCCACCCTCGTCGCCCGTCGCTTCCTCCTCGTACACTGTCCCGCCTGGTGGACTCCGTCCTCTGCCTTGAGCGCCTGCAGATGTGACTCCGGGTACGACTCCTCCGCCACGCCCACGCCGCCGCCTGCGGATCCATCCACCGCGTCCGACTGCATGTCCACGCCTGCTTCAAGCTGGGGGTCTATCTGGTCCATGGCCACGTGGTCGCCGTCCGCATTGTAGAACGAGGTGCTGTCCTGTCCGTCCGTCGTCGGGGTTGGGTATGTCTGCGCGAGAGAGTCGTCTGCACCGGCCGCGTTGCCCTTCTCCATGAACAACTGCACGATTCAATAGCAAAATGAAACGCGTAGATAAGCTTTTTGGACGCGTAGATCAAAGCGCGCGAAGCTCACGAGAACGGGTGCTAGAACTCGAACGGCTGCACAGGTCAGCTAATTGGCCACATCTTATGTACAGCACAGCTTTGCTTTCGCTAAAGTCAGGTCGTTGACCCCTCCGAGCAAAGAACGCGCACGAGCATACTGGCCGCGCCCGTCTGCAGAGCGGGCCGTTACTCACCTGGGATTGATGATATTCCGAGAGATATGGAGCTGCGCGATGCACTGCCAGCGGAAGCGGAAGAGGAAGAACCAGAGGCCGAATGTGGGTTGTTTTTGGTAGAGAAGGGGCAAAATCTGGAAAATCACCTCGACAGGAAAAACTTGCTGTCCGGTCGCTGGCCAAAGGGAAAGTTCGGAAAAATCTGCCCTTTCATTTTCGTCGTCACGTGGGTATACTGCTGAGTCATCTTTAATGTGGGTATTGAGATCTGGCCACCGCATTAACGGTTTTGAGGCATGTCCGGCTGCCGGGGTAAACTGCCTAGCCTCTCCGGTGCTTGAATCTGTCATCTTGTGGAAGAAGCTGTGGTTGTTCAAAATTCCAGTGAGAATCAAAGGGACCGATATACTATGGGGAGATGGATTTTCTTTCCTATGTGATATATCCTGCACAGCCGCAACCTATCGGAGACAAAAAAATGGTGAACACTCTGAGCTCTTTTTGTTGATGATCTGTGTTCTGATACCTGTGTTTTGACGATGGGATTGCCGGCGTGCCATCACAAAGATACGCGCATGAACCTGGATATTCCTGTGAGCCACGATGCCTGGGTATTGTCGGTAGCGGTGAAATGTCGAGATTGCAACCTCGGCCTGGCGTCACCTGAAGGCGCGGCGGAAGTATGGTTCTGAATGCTCTGAAGAGACCCATGCCAAGGAGGCCCGCTAGATCATCCGCGTCAGTAAGTCGTAAAAACAAACTCAACCTGGGACAGAATTGATTATATACCAGCGACCTGATGATTAATGTTGGAAGCTCGAAGTGTGGAGGTGGTCGAAATGCGACAAGCCGACGTAAACTTCAACAGCGCAAGCCGGAAAAAGCCATGGTACGCACGTTAGCTGCTCTGAAATGTCACACCCAGAGTTCTACTCGCCATATTAGGAGCCCAGCTGGCCCAAATCTCCGAAAGTTCAATGTCCGATTGGTCGATTTCAGATACAAAGGTCTGGATATCCAGTGACGATATTTGAGTCGCTCTACAATTTTTTTGGATTCTGAAACGCTCGAAGAGACTGGTGAGAGGTGCGAGTGCAAAATCTGCAAGTGCGGAAAGAATATTATGAAATGGCGAAGGGCTGTTCATTGTTGAAGTATCTGCTGTTGAGAGATGCATGTGCTGCAGAAACGTGCCAAACCCGGTAAAGACTGCTGGACCGGCTTGAAAAAGGAAGGGTAGGGGGCTAACACTCTCTTTGAAGACGATAGAGTGAAGGTCGATCTTTGCTATCCGCATTTGTGAGATTGTAGACCCACCGATTGTTGAACGAGTTACTGCTCATGATCTCGTCCAATGCAGGGTACGCTCGTGAAGAGGAGAAGCGTCTGTCCCGCCGACCTGGCTGCTCGGTTTACCGAAGGGCCGAAGGGGAGTTTCCCAAGCCCCCAATGATACTCGACAATGATGATGGCTATGCCGCCGTCTCGCTGCTGCTGGTAACGATGCTGGACCAACTGCCGCCGTTTTTCGGCGAAGTCGATCGCCCGCCGCCGCTCTCGAAGTCGGCCAGTGTAGGCCGCCGCATCCTCCTCCCGCTCCATCTTGCCCCCTCACATCGTGTCCACGTCCTCGCTCGCTGCCACATCGGCTGCCAACCTCGCCTCCATCTACCTCTAGTGCCGTCCGCCGTGACGCCAACGCACTTTCCGCTGTCCGGGCACCTGTATGCGCGCCGGCCTCGCTGCCCACGGGTCAGTCCAGCACCTTTTTTAGAGCGGCCATTCCTCCGACCTGTATTTCCACCGCCCCTCTCCGGCCACGAGTGCCGCTTCGCGAGCAGTCTCCCCACCTCTGGATCTTGGTCCAGACCGCACCCGCCGCAGACGTTGCTGCTGCTTCTTATTTCAACCGCCCCTCCTCCGGCTCTCTCTGCTGCATCCATCATATGCAGCGCCGGATTCAACTCACTCTGTTCCAATTTCTGCGGCGCGCGATGCGCTGCCGCCAATTTTCTGGCCGTGCAAACGGCTACACCGCGATAAAGATGGAAAATACCCTAATGAGTACCCCCTCAGGGCCAGACCGTCTGCAACGCTGAGACATGGGTGGGGGGTCTTGCTGCTGTTGTTGCAGCAGTCCCTGTGTGTGTGTGTGCGCGCGCATACACGTGTGATTGCGTACATACATGGAACTGTGGTAGTAGTTATCGTCGTCGTGGCCATAGGGCGGCGAGACTGTCCAAGCAGGTTGACGGAAAATAGAAAATAACAACTAAGTGGGATTCTGAAATGTATTTTTGTAATGCCATGTCGGGGTTTTGAATAAAGTGTAGTTGTACAGAAGAGCTGTGGAAACAGGCAACGGTCTTCTCGATGCAGGGCGTAAAAACTCAATCATTGTAGGAGGTTTTTGTGACGAGAAACAAGAAAGAACGGCCGAAGCTGTTTCTGTGGAAACATCGAACGGTCGTTGCAAGGAAACATCACATGATGTATAAGGAAAGAACAATCAAGGTCTAAGCAATTTTGCCAGGGGCTCCTTCTCTGAATGGGTGCTCATTGCAAGATACTTCCCTATTATTAGTACGCCGAAAACGTTGCTCCCCTGAAATCCCCGTTACCATCAAATTCCACGACTTCCCAAATTCTCCAGCTCGGTAATCCACAATGCTCGAGTTCCAAAAAACCTTCAGCTTTCGCTTGAAAATACCTGCTCCCAGATAGGCGATCTGAGACAGTCACTGCATTCCTCAAGGAATTCTTCGACTGCGCTTCCGTGCAGTTCGGTTATCTCATAAACAAAGTCAAGTGTGATCAAGAACATAACGAGGCGGAGTCTCCGAAAGCGAAACAGACCACAAAACCGCCTGTGGCTATGCTATAACCCGTTTCTAGTCCGTCGTTTTCCCAACTCGTCACCTTTTTATTCCAGACGTCTCCGTGCAATTGCCCTAATCCTTGCTGTCTCCAAAGCCTGTTCGAACAGTCATTAGTAGCCTTCGCGATATCATGTTACCCACGTCGGTGCTTCCGCTTAGATGCAGAGCATGGCAGTCTAAATCGACCAGAGCCATCTCGACGGCCTTGTCAAGCTGGCGCCCAATTCCACTCACTTGAAGGATTTGGGAAATGATATAATGGGTCATGAGAAAGTCTGCGTCCGGCATGGGTACAGTGTGATCGTGGCTGGTAAACTCTACAAGCGGAGAGCCGCTTTTCGAGTTAACGGACATAGCGTATGTAAAAAACTTGGTGATACGATAAAGATTCTGTTGGTTAGTACGTTTTCTGTTGTATCGTCCGTTCTTTACTAAACGAACAAGAGAAAGATAAAGCGTAGACTTTATAAAACATACCAAGCCTTGCGGCAGAAAGCCAATGTTGTACCCCCCGAACAAGCCGTGCACGTAGATGTCTAAGATTATAGCGTTGTCGCGCTGCTTGATGCTTCTAGTATCAATCTTGTCGCGAATTGCTGGAAAGTATCTGTGAATTGCGAACCAGATGATAGCTTTGTTGCGTGTCTGGACGGCGTCTGTGTCGTCAAACGATCCTAGGGCGAAAGGAATTATGTGGGCGCATTGCGTTATGGTTGTCTGTGCACCTGGAGGCACGACAACGTCTCCTTTCTCACAGCTGTTCATGTCCAAGTTCCCAGAATATACGCATCGGTAGCCATCTCGATGCAGGCAATCGTCACGCAAATGCTGTTGCTCTTGTCTCGTCGACGTCTCGATCGTCGCCATAGCCACATCGATGGCGTGTTCTGCTCCAGGGGTTTGAGGCAATGAGAGAGGCGTTGGAGCCTGCCCACCTGCAAGCTTGACTGAAATATTTGAGAGAAAACCTAGTTAGTAAAACAATAGTAAAGACAAGAAACACGGAAAACAACTTGATAATATCGCAGCGTACACGGCTTTAGAATCGCGTCGATAAGGTGGTTAGCGAGTTTGACAAGTGCGTCGTCGTCGTCGCAGATTGCTATGTCTGCCACCAACATCCGCTTGCCATCGTCCTCTAGATGGTCAAGAAACGCCCGGATAACTCGCGAGGCACTATAGCTTCGCTCTTCAAATTGATCCAGCCTTACACTAGCTCCTAGAATTGCAAGAGAGCCATCAGATATGGCCGGAGAGAGCGACGGCGAGACAGATGGGTGCTCTGAGAGAGGCGGGAGGTGTGCCAAGGGGCTATTCCACGACATTTTGTAGATTGTACTGCGAAAATATGTAAGTTAAGTAAAAGGGATGGAAAGAAGGCACTAGAAGTTGTCGAATATAAAAGTTGAGAGTTGCTAATCGCAACGTAAATTGTTGCTAGCGTGCACCGTAAATTGACGATAAGAGGTTGGTACACTCCATGAGGCAGTTTCACCGCTTCAGACCGGTATAAAATACCTGAATTAACTACGGAAAATATTTTAACTTCTATTAATACTATATAATTTTAAATACAGCCTCTTACTACTTTTAAACAACTACTTTTAAACAACTACTTTTAAACAACTATAACCGTTATTACTAAATATTTATTATAATAGTATAAAGGTTTATATAAACCCATTCCTCCACCTTTGGCCGGGCAAAAGCCTCGTCTTCGGCCGTCTTAGCCATAACAACGGCAAGGAACAGGATGCCGTTAGACGCATGACGATCCATGCACATAACGTTTCCACCAGCATCGATGCCGCGCTGGCCAAAGACGGTGGGAAGGGGCTGGAACAGACAAACAAAAACCTGCAATTCGCAAAATTGTCATTTTTGCAGGCGTTGTCGTCGAATTCCCGGCCTCAAACATGCAAGCACATAATAGGGCTACCGAGAGAGCCCCTTCCTGTGTGTGCCGGCCTCTTCTAGGAATCTAACCTTATTCTAGTTCCCGTGCCGTTTTGCTATCACACAACCTGGTCCAAAGTGCACTCGTTTTGCACTCAAGGTCGTCGCACCAAGTAGTCAATTCGATGGGTCTCTAAATCGTTATTGGCCATTCTGGAATAGCGCATCTGAGACAGCTCCGCGGACTGTTCGCATTCTAGTCTCGGTGGCAGCGTAGGTAAACGCGTTCGTCCGTGCCTCGAATTCATGCGTAGAGTGCAAAACACTGCGAGCATTTGTATTCGTGGAGGGCATTAGCGAGCACTTCGGTCCGTCTTGATGAAATTGTGGTCCGCTTGCAATGGACCATTACTGAATTAGGATACAGTCTCGGAAACTTGCCCTTCTCCCCAGGGTTCTGCTGTGAGTAGCATCGCCAACAGTTTTCCGTACCCGTCTTGGAATCGTGGTAGTGATACCGTCCAGCAGACCCTCGGAGCCGATGTCGTCGTCGTGGTCGAAGCAAGCGCATTGATCCGGCTCAAAGGGAAGCAGGAGGCGCTCGTCCTGGGCATGCACATGTGGGCAAAAAGCGAGACAGCCTGCAACATTTTGTGCCCGTATAAAGTCTCGCAGATGCTGTTTGGTCACCGGGACACGAGGGTAGAGGTCAAAGGCCGGAGAGATCCATACAAGGCAAGAGAAGGTCGACATATTAACCCATGGATTGTTGGCACCTAGTCCTTGAAAGTACCGGCGACTATTGGAGGATGCGTCCGTATTCAATGGATCGGTTCTTGAGCTTTCTCTTAGAAAGGAACAACTGCATATGGTCGCCATGCTTGCAGTCAGACGAAGCATCGGGCCAGCTTGTTTAGCCTTTCTTTGTACTCTAGGCTTTGGCGATAAGCACGACAGCTAGAGCAGAGTTCCAGGACGACATCCCAGTACACAATCTCTCGCCACTCATGTCGTCTGCTCTGAATTCCCGGTCGGCTCCATGGATGAATCAAAAGCCTTCGGTTTAAGTGTTTGGCGACTGCGGCCCGCCAAATGGCGTTGTGCACTTCAGGAGGCCAGGCCCTATCGACTTCAGACACAACTCGCAGAAAGAGAGAGCAGGACTGGCGAAAAAAAATCCTCGTAAGGTAGTCGGCTTGGTCTCGAATCAACCTGATGATCTATTCGGGCAGCCGATATAAGCGATTGTTATTCAAGTTTTCCCGCACCCTCTCGAGAAAGAAGGCGTTTCGTTCAGAGGGGCGGTTCGGATGATCTGGAACTCGTCTTCTGCGTCCTCGTCCTCTTCTGGTCCAGAACGAAATTGGCGTGTCAGGCCTCTCCATAGCGACGACAACTGCTCTAGAGGGTCAAGGGTGGAAGATCAGCTTCTTGAGGGTGAGGAACCTGGAGGACCGGCTGCGAGATTGCTTCACCCATGGTAGGACAGAGTGGAAAAGTACAATACTAGTTCTAAGAGCAATACTTCGCTAAGTTGGACAACCGGGATATCAAGAAGGGGTAAGAAGCCTGCAGAATTTCATTTTGTTGATCAATATTTAAAGAAGAGGTTTATAGTCATTGAAAGCTTAGCGGTAGTTCACGGCAGGAGTAGTGAGTGAATTGTGGCAAGATATTTTACCATTGAAAACAAGAATGTAGGTGTTTGTGGTTACTGTTAGCGGCAGGACATGTACCATTTCAGCAAAAAGGGTTGAGGGGATGCAAAGTGATGCTTCTGAAGTTAAGCTGAGCCTATACACACTTACACCTACAATTTGCAATTCGGTTCGTATTTCTCACTTCTATAACACCTCCCACCGACCATTCCCAGATTTTACAGAGATTGGTGTCGCACGTGACAGCCGCGTGCAGTAACGTTCCTCAATCTTGCCCGTTTTACTTTGCGAATACAAGACCGAGGATTTCTTCTTAAGCAAGAAGATTCTTGAATCTAGCAAGTCCTTCTGTGCCAGTCTCTATGCCAGTGTGTATGCCAGTCTGAAGAGTCTGTTGCGCGGTGGTGCACGGACCATCTCATGGGCAGATAAATCCAATCCAGGCTTCCACTTAGTTTCAAAACGATCTTATAAGTCACTATGCCAGCCTCCGTGCTAGCCCCTATAAGGAGTTAAATACAATGGAATCCTACTAAAGCAAAGACTTTACTTTGATCTAACAAACAATCGGTAGACGAAAGCGCTGTGTAAAGTGTGGAATAAAAATAGTAAGTGCAAAAAAAGCGAATATTAGTAAGACATCTAGTCATGTGATCGCAAAACACAACACCCAGCCAAGATCAACAACGGTGCATGCATTTGATAGGCTTCGACGCAAAGGTTGGTCGCGGCCAGACATACTTTGCATGCATTAGCTGCATGTCTAGTCGCCTGCCTAGAATTAATTGCAGCTTTGGGCGAAGTGAATGTGATAACCGGCCTCGCCATAGCTCATAGCCAACCTTTATCACAATTGACGTGGCATTGTGGATTTCCCCGAGGTCACCTGACTTGACCTCGGCCGCCGAAATTACTAGATAAGACGAAGCCCTGATCTGCGCGCATACTGCGCACAGTCTGGTCTTCAATCAGTCAACCACCGAACGAAATATCATCACTAGATCTTCTGAAGGCCTTAGAGCTTACTACGATACGTGCAACTGGTCCGGACGAATATCCCACAAGGATTACCGTACGGGTCTTACACTGGTGATCACGCAGAACGTGCGTGACAGACTAGTGGTGCACGGAGTAGAAGCCACAGCATTGCGGCCCACAATTTGCGCTCTTGCATCGATTCCCGGCCCAATTATGTTACACATGGAGCCAGACCCAACTATGCAGTCCTGTGTAATTCTTGCTAGGCTTACCACCGGTTGCCTGTATCTTTTGCCAGCTCTCCGTGCGTTTGTCCATTGTCCGCTTGCATCTTTTCTGTGGCTTTCCCCTCCCATTCTCTGAAGTGCGCTTTTTAACTTCTTTCCCCTACATATTATTTCTTGCCTTGCACACTATTCGATATCCTGTATAGGCGGACGAAGCCAGCATTACCACTCCATTTTTCGATATCACAAGCTAAGGTCACTGCGACGCATATATTGCAGTACCAGAAAGCATCAATCCATGTCTGGACGCGGCAGGTAAAACGCCCTGATGATATCTGTTGCCGAGTGGCTATTAATCGTTTGTATCACAGAGGCCCTAGTGGCCGTACCTGGGGACACGGATCAAGCCCGCGAACCAACGTCTGCCATCTTTTTCTATCCAGCGGCCGGTGCCGTTTTGGAAATAACTGCAAATACTCCCACGACACAACTTCATCTTCTGCTCCTACCTCATCATCTCCGACGAAAGCTCGTCAGGAAAACGTCAACCCTGTGGATGATGGACGTCTTCCACAGTACAAAAGATTGCTGAAACAGAGAGGTAGGGAATACATTCTCCGGCCAGATGCTGCCTCCGTTGGTCGATTTTTCTCTCTGGGTTGTGACATTCTGGAAAACAGTGAAGATGCCGGTGCCAAGCAAGAGGCGATCAAACTGTTGGCCACAGAGGAAGGCTTCCGCTACATCCGTGATGTCGTTGATACGCACATCCCTGAGGCTATGGCCTGTGGGATCACCCAAAAGGCCGCTCTGTGGGAGAGCGAAGTCAGTCCTCTCTTCCTGTTTGTGACGCACAAAAGCGTCACGGGCTCCGCCTTTCTCGAAGAGCAGGTTGCAAGCATATATAACTTTCTCGTTGGCGTGGGTGGAAAACGCATGAATGCGCTGTTCAACTTCGTCATTGTTCTCGCCAAGGATCCCAACAGACCAACGCCTCCGACCAACATGGTTCTCGTTGAGTTAAGTCTGGCAGTGCTGGCCCAAATGATCTCATCCAATACAACAAACATGGCAAACGACGACTTCCGTGTTTTTGTAGACGAGCTGGCCACACTGGCCACGGCTGGCAATGCCGTTCTTAGAGACGAGCTTTCTCAACGGCGAACCAACACGTATGCGAGCTACATCCGCAGACGCCTGCAGGTCGGCGATAATCTCCCAGACTTCCAGCCGAACTTGGTAGCTGCTTCTGTGGGACCTGTGCCCTCGTTCCGGTTTCGAAGTGACTTTCCAGGACACTTGTCCGCTGATGGGAGGCGGCATGGCAATGACTACGCCGACATCGCGCGTATCTCCATCATGCCAACATATGAAGAAATCATGTGCGACCGTTCTGAGTACCTCCCTGTCACAGACCCGGAACAGTGGCACCGGCAGGGAATTTCTGGTCGCCTAGATCGTGAGTTTCGACTGCTGCGGGAGGACACCGTGGGCCAGCTTCGGGATGTCGTTCGAATGGAGCTGGACAACCTCATTCGGCTTGAGAAGGAAAAGACTGCCCCTGGCCAGACCAAGCAACGTGCGCATGCAGCTTCAGGGAAAGACAATATTCGATATTGCACGTACCAAGATGCCAATATTATCAGGTTGGACTTTGAACGTCGCACAGGATTGGAGTTTGTCGTCCGTTTTCAGCAGCCGGCCCCCAGTCATGTCTCCGCTGGCGGCTCGAACGGCTTGGGTGGCAAGGCAGCCCAGCTCCATAAGCGCCGCATTGAGTGGTGGACACGGGCAAAGAAGCGATTGCAACCGGGCGGCCTGCTGTGCGCCATTGACTTTCGCGGCTCGGTACTTTTCTTCACAGTGGCCCACTCGACACTCCGGACGCTTCAGGATGCTGGTCACCGGAAGAAAGATGGAAAGGAAAATACGGAAGAGGAGAAAGTCAAACCTGTGACGCTGGCAGACGATGCCTTGCATTCCTATGTCAGACTGAACTTGGTGGGCGCCGACAAAATGGACCATGTCAAGGAAGCCCTCAAATGGTTCTTGCAAAGCAAGACAAACACTAGTGGCGGCAGCCTTTGGCATCAGCAGCGAGTCTTGGTGGAGTTTCCGGGAATCCTGCTCGATGCTTTCCAGCACACGTTAAGGGCCCTACAGACCGCCTCGCAAAAAATGGACGTGCCGTTTGCTGATCTCATTGCCCCCACGAAAACACTTGACGGTGTAGTAGGTAATGGGATTGCTGATGTGCCGCCGCCAATATACGCCCAGAAACCTGGATTTGTCTTCGACCTGGGATGCCTGCGAAACGTCGGTAGCAATGAGATATTGCAGCACAGCATCCAGAAAGCGCTGGAACCAGAGAAACTAGAAGCCAATTCCTGTCTGGACAGAACCCAGTCGAAAGCTCTGACACAGACCCTCTCGAGAAGCATGGCCCTCATCCAGGGACCGCCTGGGACGGGGAAGACATATGTGGGTGTCGAGATCATCAAGGTGCTCCTTGGCAACAAAAAATCGGCAAAGCTGGGCCCCATACTGTGTGTGTGTTATACCAACCATGCGTTGGACCAGCTGCTCGAGCACCTTCTCGACTACAGCGGTACCGGCCAGATTATCCGCATGGGTTCGGGCTCCAAGTCCGAGAGGCTGAAAAACCGGGGTCTGCGAGACGTCGCCGGCAAGATCACCCGGACACGAGAGGAGAGGAAATCTATGTGGGCAAGGGGAACCGATCTGGACTCGTCAACGGAAGAGCTGCAGGAATTGTCCCAGCGCATAAGCCGGGCGCTCCCGTTGGCAGAGATAGTGCGCTTCTTGTGGGAAAACCATATGGCGCACTATAAACAGCTATTTCGCACAAACGTCCTCCTTATGGGACATGGCAAAAATGCCATCGGTGCCAAGGATGAGGACGGATATCGGACCGTGCTGGGGAAGCCAGATCAGAAAATCAGGGAATGGCTTGGCGGCGGAAAGCGAGAGGATGGCCGCAGGAACCCCAGACGCAAGCCAGAGGACCTCGAAGAGGCCGACCTCCACACACTGACACACAGAGAGCGACATGACCTCTACAAATGGTGGGAAAAGTGCAGTTTTCAAGAGGTCACAGACGAGATTGTCAAACAGAATGGCGTGTATGCGGTTGCGAAGCGGTCCTTCGACTTGGCGTGTCGTGAGGTCGACCTGAGATGTCTCAACGAGGCGGATGTGATCGGCGTGACAACGACTGGGCTAGCACGAAACATAGAGCTGCTGCGGCACTTGTCTAGCAAGGTGTTGTTCTGCGAAGAGGCCGGAGAGGTGTTGGAGGCCCATGTGCTCACATCTCTGCTACCGTCCATCGAGCACGCGATCCTTATTGGCGACCACCAGCAGCTGCGGCCTCAGGTGCAGAATTATGAGCTTCGGAGCGACAATCCACGCGGACAGCAGTTCTCCTTTGACATGTCGCTATTTGAACGTCTTGTGGTGCCACAGCACTCTAGCGAGCTACAGCTTCCGCTGAGTCAGCTGGCAACACAGCGCCGCATGCACCCGTCGATCTCGGCACTGATCCGCGCCCCATTGTATCCAGAACTGGAGGATGGTGAAAGTGTTGGACAATACCCAGAGATTCCAGGCCTGGTGCGGCGGCTTTTCTGGCTACGGCACTGCCAGCCTGAGCTCGGAGCTGCAGATGGACCGCAGGCTGATCCCACGACTGCTTCGCGCACGAACAGCTTCGAAGTCGAGATGACTGCGGCCCTCGTGTCGCACATCGCAAAGCAAGGAGTCTATGCCAGCGGAGACATTGCCGTGTTGACGCCGTACCTAGGGCAGATGCAGCTGCTGCAACGACGCCTGGCGTCCATGTTCGAGATTAGCTTCAACGACCGCGACTTGGAGGAGCTGGAGGCCGCGGAGGCCATTGACGGTGCCGCTGACGAGACAACGGATATCACAAGGGCCACAGCTGCCTCCTCTAGTCTGAGGCGTGGCCCACAACCGGCAAGGACGACTCTCCTGCGCAGCGTCCGTGTGGCCACAGTAGACAACTTCCAGGGCGAAGAGGCCAAGCTGATCATCGTGTCGCTTGTTCGCAGCAATCCACAGCAACGATGCGGGTTCCTCAGCACGGCCAACCGAATCAACGTTCTGCTTTCGAGGGCCAAGCATGGCATGGTCATTATCGGAAACAGCGATACCTGTGCCAGAGTTCCCATGTGGAGACAGGTGGTAGCGATGCTCGAGGCCAAGGGCAACATCGGCGAAAAGCTTCCACTGTGTTGTCCGCGGCATCCCGAGCGCACTTTTGAAGCCTCTAACCCAGACCACTTCTTGCAGTTCTCACCCGACGGCGGCTGTCTCTTGCGGTGTGACAAGCGGCTGTTCTGTGGGCATGCCTGCACCGGCCGCTGCCACTCGGATATTGTACACCAGGCCGTCGAGTGTTTGGAACCCTGTCCAAGGCCACTGCGCGGATGCGATCACAACTGCCCACGACCTTGTGGAAAGGAGTGTATTATCCAATGCAACGTCGTGCTCGAAGATTCTTTCCTGACACTGCCATGTGGACACCAACGAATAGCACCGAGGTGCTTCGAAATGCAAAGGCCTCAGTCTATCAAATGTATGGAGCGCGTCGTTCGTACTGTTCCAGGATGTGGACACACGGTTCAGGTAGCCTGCCACACCAATGTTTCGGAAGATGCATTCCCCTGCACGGCCAAGTGCGGCAGTGCGTTGCCGTGTGGCCATAGTTGTGGATCTGGATGCCATGCCTGTCGGACACGCAAAGACGGCGAAATCGTGACGGTGGTCCACGGCATATGCAACACACCCTGCCAGAGGCCATACAGCGCGTGTCAACATGTGTGCAGACAGAACTGCCATGGGGACAAGCCCTGCGGGCCATGTGTCGCGCCATGCGAAGTGCGATGCAGCCATTCGAAGTGTGATCTGAAATGCAACGAGCCCTGCGTGCCTTGCGCCGAAGGGACCTGCAGCTCGTGTTGTCCACATTCGTCTTGCACAATGCCGTGAGTGGTGGACCCCTCTGATGTGAACATTCCCGAAAACTGACAGCTAGTGCAGGTGTGCGGCTCCATGTGACTGGGTGCCTTGTTCGAAGCGCTGTTCGAGGTTGCTTGACTGTGGCCATCAATGTGAGTCCTTCCTTCCTCTCTTTGGAATCTTTGCTTAAGATCTATATTCTCATTTCACAGGCCCGTCTGTCTGCGGAGAGCGCTGTCCGGGGCAGGAGTTCTGTCAAGTGTGTGGTCACAAAGACGTTCTCGACCAAGTGGTAGATTTCATCATGATGACGACGTACCGCGACACGGATGTTGACGAGGATCCGTGCATTTTCCCGGACTGCGGTCACGTATTGGCAATGTCGTCCATGGACGGCATCATGGACATGACCAAGCATTATGCCATGCACGAAGAGAACGGCCAGGTGCATCCGGCGTCCTTGTTGACATCTTCTGCGCCATTTGATATGGCCGAGGTGAAAGTTTGCCCCAATTGTCGAGGATCCCTGCGCAGTGTGGCACGATATGGGCGCATCGTCCGCCGGGCGCTTCTGGACGAATCAACCAAAAAATTTATTGCTTGGGCCAACCAACAACACCAGGTCCTGTTCATGCGATTTCTAGCAGAGAGAGAGCGCCTGGAAACAGAAGCCCCGTCACGAAACAACAATGAATCATGGAAGTCGGTTGTCTCCAAAGGTCGTGAATCCGGCATCAGGCGACTTGTCCGTGCAGCAGATGCAACACGATACGCAAAGCTCTCCAAGCTGCGGGATGACATCCGGTGCTATGCAAGGAAAGTACACATGGGTGAGCAACCGTTTCAGAGGGTGGCAGATTTGGTGCAGTTTGCCCGGCGCAAGCGTCAGGGAGAACACGAGGAACAGACGCCCAGGAACAACTTCAATTTTGATGAATCGGTCATCCAAGTGCGCTGCCATATGGTTGCCACGATCCTGCTTCTGCGCTGCGATATTTTTGCCCTCCAGGATGTTTACGACCTCGTCTGTAAACCGACTCTGAATCAGGCGAGCAAGGACGCCGTCAGCATTGCCATGCAGAAGATGGTGACAATGGGCGGCACCACAGAGCTTATCAAAGACTGCGAAGCTTCTATAACGCTGGCCCAGGGGGCCAAGTGCGTCCGACAAGAAGTCGAGGGGCACATCTGCTTTGCACAACTTTGTCATTTGTTCCGAAACATGTCCATGTTCGATCCGGCCAGAAAAGACGAGGCGCGGGAAACTATAAAAGAAGCTGGTCTTGCGCATGTGGAAGATGCCAAGCTGTTGGTCGAAAAGAGCTTATCGGCAAAGTCGCTGGAGCCAGAGCTTGTAGCAGCCGAAAGGGCGTTGTCCGATGCGCCATTCTACAAGCCTGTGACGACAGCAGAGCTCAAGGCAGTGTACACGGCCATGTCAAGAGAGTTCAGTGGCACCGGTCACTGGTACACGTGTGCACAGGGCCACTACTTCACCGTAGGCGAGTGTGGTATGCCGATGGAGCAGACGCGATGCCCAGAATGTGGATCGCCTGTTGGTGGACGAGACCACACGAGTGTAGAGGGAGTGCGAGCAGCAGATGATGTGGAGAGAATTGCGAGGGAATTGAACCAGGTGAGATTAGGCTGATGGCATATGTTTGGAAGCTGTGATTTAGTCGCTGCTTGCGGATGAACGGAAAGAAAAAAAGAAGAGGAAGAAAACAAGATTGTGAGCATCTGATTTATGGGCAGAACAAAGGGCAGAAATTTACTTTCGACGTGCATATTGCTCTTGGCGCTGAAAATGGAAGGAGCTGCCATGAACGAATCAGGAAAGGCATTAGTCACCGCGGCTGCCGTAGTAGAGAAAAATGTGATTTTTGAAGCAACCTCGTACGAATCTAGCTGACACTGTGTGGTCCCGTGACTTAACGACTTCAATCTATCCAGGCTGCTGCCTAAATCGAAATTCTACAGCCCATTGGCATTGCGATGTCTACGTTCGATGGCAATATTCGAGAGTTTCCCGACATACAAGGTGCGCAGAAATGGCACTTTCTTCTACGAAAGGTCGCTGACAAGGTGTTAGTCGATTACTTTCGCAGCCATGCAGCTGCTCGTCAGCCGCTTGCCTGCTTTCTGAGTCATGTGCACAGTGACCACCTCGTGGGTCTCGAGACGCTGCGCTCGCCGTTGTTCGTCTTATAGGGGGAGAGTCGGGTATTGTGGCCGCTCTGACTCACCTATCAGCGTATATTGCTCGGCCGCAACCAGAGCTCTGGTGCTCCGCCTCGAGAGGTATCCCTGCCGGCTCAACCATGCCAAAGGCATTCTCGAGGCTAGAAATCGGACTTATGCAGGACTTAAATATCTCCTTGTAAGAATCAAGGGCATGTATGGAAAAAGGCGAGGAAAGACAAAGGACAGCAATTAATCCCTTCTACAGAAGCCCCTTCCCCTAGAGGCGCCCACGACAATTGAGCTTTCCCCAGGAAATCGCATCCGCGTGACGCTGCTTGACGCAAATCACTGTCCGGGCTCGGTCATGTTCTGTACGTCATACCTGCTTCTGTCCCCGACCTAAAGCTGACTAGCCGGTGTTTGAAAATGCAACCAATGCCGTTCTCTACACGGGCGATACCCGCTGTGAGCCCTGGTTTGTCAATGCGCTTGTGCGAAACCCCTGTTTGGCAGAGTATGCTGCCGGCTTGCGCGTCCTGGATACTGTCTACCTAGACACTACATTCATCGACAAAAACAGGCCCTTTCCAACAAAGGCAGAGGGACTGGGCGAACTTCTTCGCGCCATTTACCAGTTTCCTCCCGAGACTGTCTTCCATCTGCGAGCTTGGACTTTTGGGTACGTATTCAGGCACAGAAGTCGCGGTAGGGCAGCTTCAAGTTCTCATTTTACCGGTAGTTGACTTATGACGTGCACAAAGGTACGAGGATGTCTGGATCGCTCTCGCGAAAGCGCTGGATTCAAGAGTGCATGTGGATCCGTATAGGATGCAGCTATACCAATCCCTCGCAGTAAAGGAATCAAAGCATCGGTTCTCTGATGCCATTCCTCTTGCCCCTGAGGCCCCCGGGCTTGTCGGCTTCTTGTGCGCCAACACGGCGCATGAAGGATGTCTGTCGACCGCTAATGACGCAGGTGTTCATATGCGAATACACAGCTGCGAGAATGGTACCAGCCACTGTTCGGATATGGGAGACGCGTCGGTAGTGTGGATCCAGCCGATCGTGTCTCGCCTTTCTCACGGCCGTGGTGACTTTATCGAGGCTGCCATGTGCGATCTGGAGAGACAGCCGAGAAAACAAGCGAGGCGCAGCGAACCAGAAACAATTTCACGGACTATCACGTTCCCGTACTCCCGACATTCATCATACCCAGAGCTATGCCATCTTCTCAGCGAGCTGCGTCCAAAGGATGTCTGGCCCTGCACAGTCAACCCCGATCGGTGGTTTCAGAGCGGTAATTGCCCTTTTCTCGGATTCCGACGTGTGGTCAGTGCTAATGCTGTGTGCACACTGATTTGGTAGGTAGCATTGTGACCATTAAAGATTTATTTGGGGAGTTTTGTTCGGGTGATGTCTTCCGCCATGATGAGGAGGTCGCTTCAAAGTGGAAACAGGGTCTTAAGATGGTGGTGGATGATAGCCAGGCCACGGCTGATTCGGATTTGTACCCGCACCTAGATACACTTGAGGCTGATTACGAAAGTGTCTCAGCAGAGGCAGAGCTATTTCGTCCGTGCGACCCCCCCTTCTTTGCGTACGGGGGAAAAGACGCACAAGGTTCACAAGACTCTCAAAATTCGATGATATCAGAATTCTCTATGGAGAAAAGAACACAAGCTCACGATGCCATGCTGATGAATGCGGCAGGTGGCCGAGACTGGAATTGCATCGGCCTCCTTTCTACAAACGACCGCCACACTCTTCCTGACGAGGACCTTGGCGTTAGATAAGGAATTCATTTCCCTTTTTCGTGTTTATTATATGAAACATTCGCACCGGGGCTGTAATATACTAGTTTCTGGTTTTTATATTGTCGCATATAGATGTCTAACTTAGGAAGGTTGAAAATCGCCTGGCTGGGACTGGAAAGAGTCCGACAGTAAGCACAAACACCTCTCTGATTATCTATGAGTGTATCTTAGTATGCCCAAGGTCAGCTGCATGGACACTGTCTCGCTACCTTCCTAAATGAGGCAATTATAACATGTTGTCTTAGTTGGCTTGATTTGGTTGTATTTCAATTGAAATAATAATTACTTTTCAATATCTAATTCTCCTCCTTATTCCTTGGCTCACAATCACCATGCAAAGCTCTCATAGTGCAGCTCGATGCTGGGCCCTTCTGGTCGAATACAGGCAGCCGCCGCAGTCCGGACGTCCTTCATCAGGCCGGTGGGTCCGCAGGCGGCGATCAGGACGCGCTGACCGTTGCCAATAGTGGATACAATGCTCTCAATGGTCTCGGCCACACGCAACTTCTCGTAGCGGATGTTCTTGAGACCAAAACACGACAGGGCTGTTGCGGGAGCAGATAGACGGCCCTGGACAGCCTTCTCGTCGTCGGCCGAGCTGTTGGATGGAAGCGGGCTTCCGTGCATCTTCTCCGAGTCGACCGGCAGCGAACCCTCGCTGTCGGTCGAGAGGCCCTGAGGCGTGTCGGCGGTCACGTGAACAGTCATCTCCACATGAGCATCGAAGTTGGTGAGGGTGTCGATATGGGAGCCGAACCAGGCCAGTCGATCTGTGGGTATTAGAAAGAGTTTTGGATAGATTTGGAAAGGCAGGCGAAGCTAAAAAACGCAGAAAACACGTACCATTCTTCCGGACAGACCAGATAAAGTCGAGCTTCTGCTGCGATTCCGTCTTCAGGTTCTCAACCAGGTGAGTGGCCAGACCAAAGGTGAAGGTAGCGCCACTTCCACCGGCCACGAGGATGATACGATCATAGCTGTGCACATCGGGAAAGCTGCCATAGGGCCCATCGACGGAGGCCCAGAGGGTGCGCGGCTGGGACGGCGACTTGCTGACATAGTTGTAGAGCGACTTGGTGAAGCCGCCGTGAGCGGTGGCGACGAGCTCAAGGCCACCGGGTCCGTTGGCGACAATGGTAAAGGGATGGGTCTCGAGGGGGCGGATGCGTGGGATCCAGAGGAAGCAGTGCTGGCCAGGCCGAGCGCCGATCAGACGCTTCTTGAGGACGATGCGGGTGGCGTTGCCGTCACCGTCGTCCGAGACAGCCGTCAGGGTGGCTGAGTTGTTGATGGCATTGAAGAAGAGACGGAGCCGGCGACAGATGCGGTCAATGAACCACATGCAGGCGGCAAAAACGCAGGCCTGTGGCACAGCTTTCTTCCACTTGGGCCGGTGGCGGCCGAGGGTGATGGTGACGAGGAGAAAGAGGCAGACGTGGGAGGCGTAGAAGAGCTCGTACTGGTGGCGGCGCAGGATGAGACTGAGGATCAGCATGACAAACATGGCGCAGCCGGCAATGATACCCATGACCATGTTGAGAGCCTTCAACTCGTCGAGCTTGTCGTTGCGGCCATAGTTGATGCAGTAGAGGATCATGTGCAGGATCATGTAGAAGATGGCTGTGTAGCCGGCTGTACGGTGGAGCACCTGGAGACGCTCATATGTGTAGCCGGTGAGGAGGCCCATGGGGGTGTTGCGCATGGAGAGGACGACGACCAGGACAAAGTCGCAGGTGGAAATCCTGGGATGTTAGCGGGAGAAAAGTGAAGGACGATGCGGAAATGTGGGAAGAGCGTGAAGGCGGTCGAGGGGTAGATGCAGGCAGAAGAAGGGCGAAAATGAGGACAGGACATGGACCGTAGTAAAACTCACCATCCGAGTCTCTTGCCCCAGGCCTCAGTGTCGTCCCTGTTGAAGTGGACAAAGGTGCACGCAAGGTGGATGACATAGAAGGCAATTAGGACCACCAGATGTCCGGCCGAAGGGTACACAGGCACGGAGCGTAGAAGCTGTCGTCTCACTCGTCTGTTTTGTCAGCTTTTCTGTTTTTTGTCTCCTCTCGTCTTTCTTCCCTCGTTCTTCCTTCTTCTCCCCTACTTACCGTGTAATAGCCACAATTGGCGAGAAGACACGCCCCTTGCTACCCAGCTTCTTGTAGATGATCCGTGTCCAGTGCAGAATGACAAAGACAGCAATGATGCCACAGATGCCAGCTGCGAAATACCTGGCAAGTTTCAGGTTCCAATCCGGCTTCTTCTTCTTCTTGACCGCATGGATGCTGGTCGAGATGGCCCGCTCTCCCAACAGCTGGAGGGCCTCGATTGTGGACGGCATCTCTCTCTTGGGTCCCGGCAAGTCTGAGCGAGTACAGAAAACAAAAAGAAGAAAAAAAGGAAAAAGAAAGACGGGATAGGACTGGTAGGACTGCTCGCAATGAACAAGAGACGTCGGTGCCGATCCTTTTCTCCAGGCTCGCCGATCTATATAGATTTTCTGCCGCGCCGTCTTCTCGGCTACCGGTTGGGGCTCGACCACCATAAACGGTAGACGTGGCTCGCATTCTGCTCCACCCATACCGACCGCCCACTTATCCGCCGACATTTCCGTCTGCGCAGACCCCCTCCCTTGCTGTCATGCCATGTTTCTCCAAGCTCTTTGCCCCGTCTGTGTGTAAGGCCCTTGCAGCCAACGCGGACCTGCCGAGCCTGCCAAGAGAGCAAAAGAGCTTCTCTCTGCCAAGGTAGGTCTCGCGGCTTGGCTAAGCTTGTCTGTAAGCCTTATAGCTCTATATGCATCTAGCCATCTTCCTCCATTTTTTTGCCTTCTCTATTCCATCCTCTCTCTTCCCACTCACTGCTCTCGTCTTTGCCATCTGTCTTCTTGCTGCTCATCTCCCGAGCCAAACACCCCTCCCATTCCAATGCGGACAGCTTAGCGCGCGAATTTTCTCCAGACTAGCAGGGCTATGTTTGCAGTGGACAGAAGAAATTACTGTATGAAGCGGATCAGATAACTCTGCGCGCCTACTGCTTAGCGCTCTTCGCCCCCTTTATCTCGCCGATCCCTTCTGATCAGGGAATAGCCCCCGCCCGACCTAAACCGACAGTCGCGTGCTTTCTTCTCCCGCCGTCATCGGACTCCCTCTCTCTATCTGGCTGCTACTCCGTGGTTTATTCGTTCGGGATCCCGAGCAGATTCTCTTGCCGCTGTCCACCCACAGAAATCACATGTATCTCGCATCCCCAGCCGGACTGCCTGCTGCCAGCTTCCCCCTTAGGCAAAGACGATATTTTGACTGCGACAAAGTCCACATGTCTTTCCCTCTCTCCTCTCCCCGACCGAAGAGGTCACTTCTCCAGCCGAGCCAAGAACCGTTCGTCTCGACTTCCTTTCTGCGTTAACACTCTTTCGTGTAGCGAGGCGGGAAAAACAGGACGTCACGCAGCTTAGCGCCCTACGAATACTCGTCCTTTGCCAAGGCACCTATTGTATTTACACTTGCCACTACCCGCAAAAGCCTCCACTGGAAAAAAAAATCTGATAACTAAAAAGGCCGCACGCACCACCCTTGCCCTTCGTATTTCCAACGGAGCTTTCGGGTACTAGTACATACAGTCCAGTAGAACCATTGCATTTCCGCCAGCACGCGACCCAGTTGTCGTAAGAGACTGCGAAGCTTTGCTTGGCCAACGATCGTCTGCCGAATGTCGGCGAACGACCAGCTGAGATCGGTTTAGTGCGCGCAAAGCTGTGCCTCAACCAGGGGGTCATCAATATTACGTCGTCCGCTACATGGTCCCACCGACCGACAGCTGATTATCTGTAGAAAGAGTAATGTACATTAATCAATCAGACAAGAGATGCCAACGCAATCTTCCTTCTTCTCCTTGTGGGGCTAGATAGCAAGGATGAAAATAATTATGGGACTACACGTTTTTTTGCATCTTCTCCTCCCGTCTTCCCCTGCTTCTGCTCTTCCCATGCCGCTCTCCCCCCCTCCGTCCGCCTCATCACAATCGTGCAGCTCTGTAAAGCCAAGAAGCAAGATGCGTGCTTTAGACTTCTACCCAATAAATTGCCTGCTGCGTAAGCCGCCGGCTGTGTGTTATCTGCTCCGTCCGAGTACTTGCGAAGCCACCGCAAGGCCTAACATCGCGCCTTGGCATTTGACGAGGAAGCTTACTTCTGAAAAAGCCTGGCCAATTACCCGCTGTCCTTCTCGTCATCCCATGCCAAGTGCTGCAGTACTCGTGTGTGGGCCAGGTGCGAGTCTGAGTTCCAGAAGCCTCACACCTTCCTAATGTATGTCATAGACATCCGAGACTGGGCTGATAACCGCGGCTGTAATTCGGAAAGTGAAGCCAGCCTAAAACTCCAGACGATATGTGTGCTCTCCCGTGAAAAGCCACAAGGCGCCATACTTACTATACTCGCCCAGCAATATCGCCGCTGCAGCCTTCATAATGAAAATGAAAGCCGTCCCATCTCTGGTGGTCCTTTTTTCACCCTTGCTTCAATAACGCCAACCCCTACCTCGTTATTCCCAATCGCATACCGTCTTTATTCGCACGCAATGCAAACAAATCCTTCTGCTTGGCCTTAAAGCACTCTCGCATATCTGATGATGTGGTTCTGGTGCATAGCTTCCTTTTTGGCACGTGTCCGTCCTCGTAGCCAGTTTACACGAAAGCCTGGCTACTCGGCACAAATCTCTGGCTCGTCTTTACTGGTATAATCGCCGAACCACGTTCCGAGATGAGAGCTTTGAAGCTAAGACGACATTCTGGGTGCCCCCACTCCCGTATCAATGAAAAGAGAAAAGTCGGAAATAAATGAAAAGGAAAACACAAGCAACGCTTATTTGAGCAGTTTCTGCGTCGGGACGCCAAGAGGTACTTTGCAGTAACGCAGACGCAATTGCTTTGACCCAAGTCTCCCAATACTGTTTGCGCAAAACCAAATATCAACTCTCTCTCTGGATCCCACATACCCTAGCTGCATGCATGTACAAACTTCCCAAACTCTAGCACCCTTGTACCGCAGCAGCCGCCATTGCATCTGGCCCTCCACAGTCTTGCTACAGAATAAGCCCAGAGCGGTCGTCAATACTGAGCTAAGTATGCCTGCATACGTAGCACTATGGCTGCAGCCACATCATGATCGTATTCGCGGCCCTAGATAACGTATCCCTCAACAGGACTATGATGCTGTGTCTAAAGCCATTGTGGGATCATTGGCACACACCAATGGCCCTGGACCACGGATCACCAAGGAGAAGATCGAAATTCCCAGTCCATGTGGAGCGGCTTTACTGTCGAGCAGTCATATTGTCGACTCATCATGCATTAGTGCCTCATTACAGCACAGATGTGCATTATCTAGCTCTTCGAAGCACGAATGGGAACGAGAACAAAGCCGTGCGGAATAGATGAGGTGCACAAAGGTTAGGGGACTATTTTCTAGAGCATTTCACTTTTTGGCACGTGGTTTTTTTTTTGCCATTCAATAGCTATACATGGCATAAAGTGCTGCTAGCTTAGTGTGTCTATATATCACATTCACTCCTAGGAATGTCGCATGACAAACAATTACCAACAATTTGGTTGTACAAAAGACTTAGGACTAGGCCGTTCTAACGGCGCAGAAAATAGTGGGATGATACAACAACTCGTATATTCCAGTAGCAGGTTATTCGCGCAAGCATATGGTTTTTTTGTTGAAGTTCAGTGCATAAGCCAGAGACATAAAGCGTCACAGACCAACATAGCTTTTTGCTTGTTTCTTCTCGGCTTCGTGTCTTTACAGACCGCTATACGTTTTAATTGTATTTTCTGATAACACAGGACAATACGGCTTCCTAAATTACTGCTTTCGCTAACCCACTGTCGTTGATTTAAAAATCGACTCGTATAGTATTCATAAATTTGCTCTCATCCTTGAATATTCAGTCTGGAAATAGCAGCTGGACAGTATATTACCGCGCAAAGGAGTTCAAATTTTGATAAAAAAGCTTAATCCCAACTCCACGACTCACTCGGATCCACTTGAAGTTTTGAAAACGCCCAGAAACACGCCGGGATAACAATCAGAGAAGTATGGGACTTTACAACATATCGAATAATCAACATCATTCCGTTGGTGCCCAAAATGGACACTGGCCATAACTGCCGGTATCCTGCGCGTAGGTTCTTTAGTGACCTTGCCATTCTCTCAATCGGTAGCATTGATATGGTCGCGTTCTATAACAACGATAAAGTAGAAAAAAAGCTAACCCAGCGAGTTACAAATCTCATACCAAGATTATGTAGCCGAAAGAGGCGCTGCCAATATGTACATACAAAAATGTGAAGACGTTCTCTGGAAAAAGAATAAGAGCTCGGTATTCTAGAGCATCGGCCTTTTTGCCACGGACATTTGATCCTATCAGACGTTGTTTTTACTGTAATGGTCTCTGTCAACTGTATCTCGTTTTTCATCTCACAAGGTTGCACTAGGACACATGCTCTTTGCGGTCAAGCATAAACACAACGCTTATACGTATATAAGTGGAACAAGCATGATAGTTCAAGCAACGTGTATGTCAACCCGTCTTAGGCGACTTCTCAGCCTCAAATAGTCGTAAACACGATCTTCGTGCTAAGGCTATATTCAGGTCTCGAATGGCAGTGTTTACTGTCTCTTTAAGACCCAGTAGATCCCCAAGTTTATCAGCATGGATCTTGTAATTCTTTGGTCGAACATTTCTCGACCGACTAGTCTCTCACAAAAGAAGTACTTGATATCTGTAGTCGAGCTGGCTTACAGCTTATTGTCTGAATTGAGAACAATATACCGCAAGAATTACGGACCTTATGCATACGCCACTATTATCAGAATAAATGATTGAACATAGCCTATCAGTTTAATGACAGGCTAGGCGCTCGTCTAAGCAATTTGTAGAGCAACAAAAAAGCACCAGAACAAGTAACACGGCACGCATATCGTCTATTGCCTTTGTGATCATTTTTACACATGTTTGCTATATCTAGTATTTGTACTGCTGCTTATTATTCTCGTATGCCTCTCTATGCTATCTCAATTTACTCTGTACATACGATACCTAAACATTATGTTTCTGGCCGCGGGTCTTCACAATATGTGTGCTCGCAGTTATTGTAATTCAAGAATAGAAAACTGGCCGTTGATACAGGCAATGGGGTATGTTATCCTCTGAGACAAACTACTGTTCCGATTTTCTTGAGTTCATCTCACCTGCGAAATATGAGGAGAAGCTACAATGTATCGTCTGCACTTTGAAAGGAGGGGGACGACTTTGGGCAGAATCGTGGTGCCTG